CAGGAAGTCCGATTCCTTGATCACGGAAAGCCTGGGCGACGCGGTTGAGGACACGACCGCCGCTAGTACGCTCGGTGACTCCCTACGGGAAGTTGGTCAGGCTACGGAGTGGCGCTTCCTCCAAATGAAAGCTCACGCTGGGTCCGTGCGGATGAGGACCTCTGAGAAATCCTCAGCGGTCCATAGTATGTCCACATGTGTTCCCGAGCGCGTGATACCAAATGTTTGGGCTAGAGAATCTTGGATACCCTTCCTGATGGTCAGGATGTTGGAATGAGGTGGGGAAACTGAGAAAAGGATGTAACGGTATTGGGCAGGGAGCCTATGCCGTGACATGTTCCTTAACCACGCCGGGCACTGATATTGGCTTGTGTGAGCGATCCAAACCTGGATCGCAAGCAACTACAGTGCCTTGCGTAAGAAACTGAACATCGCATTTCTGCACGCGTTGTTTGTCCGCGCCAAATATACCCTTTTCGGGTATCGGCAAATGTGCGGCAAAGACCCATCGAGAGGGAGGGTAGCTAGGCATACAGCTGGGGGCAGAGTATAATAATTTACAGCCCTTAGTGTAGTGTTAGAATATACATTCCATGCATACTCTGAAGCCTTTTGAGCCCTCTCGGGGCGTCTGCGAGTCCTTGCCCAGCAAACGGTCTCGCGAAAGGCCTTCCAGACCTACCCGAAAAGGGTATATTTGGCGCGAACAAACAACGCGTGCAGAAATGCGATGTTCAGTTTCTTATGCAAGGCACTGTATGAAAGGCAAGTGCTGTGTGGCTCGATTGGAAGTACGCGCCTCGATCGCGAGCTGCTGTGGAAGGCGAACCCTAGTCGGAGTTTCAAAGTTGTGCTTCACTCAGGTCAGTCACGGTATCATGGATTGCTATTTCGTGGTCGCTGAATGCTAAAGGCTTCTTCCTGTACGCAGAACACGGCTGCGCTGAGCATGCCCGTCTCTGTTTCCATGTCGGACAATGCTCAGACTTGCCATTGGACCTTGGGTTTCTCTCTGTGGCATGCAGGATGACTCGAGCCGCCCATAGGGGTGTCCCCATCACCCACCCTACGCTAAGGTTCTACTTCTCAATTTACAAGGCGCAGATTGTCCTTATAAAGGTCATATTCCGATCGAATCAAGGCTCAGCGTCTGGTCAAGGTGGCAAGGTATGTATGGACTTCGAAGCGCCACTAAATTCCCGTATTCTGACTTGTTGACGAGGTACAATCAAGGTACATTGGCCTGCAAATTGCTCACGGTGAGTCCAGCGTAGGTTGTTCCTTTACCTCAGACTAAGTCCCACAGATGTAAAATATCCCACCGTGCAGTCTCTCGTTCCCTCAGTGTCGCGGAGCCGCCGTCATGGATGTCGGCCTAGATCTCAGGCCTCAGGCGAAGCGTAAGGAAGTCAGACCTCGCGTGTGACGCCTTTTAATTGCAGCCCACGTTCTTGTCAAATCTCGAAGGAGGGCCTCTCCTCCAAACACTACCACGTACCGCTTCTTCCGACTCAATTCACAGTAAGTTGCCGAGATGCAATGGCTTACTCGATACACTTCTAAAGGTGCCGCAACGGACATGGCACATCTCGTGCATTCATTCTTACCGCCAACTTCCCTCGGCGGTCAAGTGATGCTACTGACGTCGTAGCTATTGCCCCCGCGAAGCATCTGCTCTCGAAAACGTCAGGACCGGTGAGAGGAAGGCAGCTTGATATCCGAGGTATCCTCTTTTCCACCGAAGGCTGTCTCACATTTCCCACCTAGATCCGAGCCGTCGCATTCACAGGCCTGATAGCTGGAGGCGCAAGTCTCGCTATGGAGGAAGGGCCACTCCCGCAGATTGAGTATTTGTTCTCCTAGTACCATGACACGAGCTAGAAATCTCCGGAGGGGTCATCTCTCAGTTTGCCACTTGGACAGCCGCTACCGCCAGCGGTTGGGCTGATTGTGTAAACCCCTGCTTTCTTCGAGGATTCTGCCTGGCATCCCAGGACTCGCCGACCCTTCCGGACCCCTACAGGTCGTCCTTCACTGGAATCGGCGGACATGCCTGAAATTAACCGCGGAGCCAGAAAGTGTGCAGTTCACCGTGGTAATGCCTGGACGATGGTGGCCAGTGGTTAAAGCCCACCCCGGATTCTCTGAGTGCCCTTACGCTGGTGGTGGCTTCGCGACCGCCTGTCGGCCAGCGGCAATGCCAGCACTCGGCCGCAAGGGTGGCTTCTGTGACAACAATGATGATCTAGTCAGGACCCGCACATGGAGTCTGAAACCGCTCTTGCTCGGTCGACGTCGTTAATATTCTATTTGATCTGTCCTAGCCAGTGGCCCAAAACTCCACTCAAGACTCCCGAATCATGTCGCATATCATTCAGTTCTGTCGGCCGGTGGTACCATTTCACTGCTTTCTCATACCATCCCGTCATGTTGCGCGGTGGCGAGCGCAACCGCCCTGACGCGTCATTCCAGTAACTTGAGGAATGTTCTTCCACAAGCGACTAGACAGCAGGACATGTCTGGTCGATATGTGATGTACCTATTTTTGCGCCCATGGTGGCTGCTGCCAACCTAAGAGATCACAGAGTGTATATAAACAAGTTTGCATCGCCGGCGTCCTCTTCCACCTACGTCGAGCAAGCAATCAGATGTGATTCGGGCATCCATCAAGTCGGAGCGCACCTTATCCTCAACCAATATTAGATTATCTTCACTGATCATCTTACCCATGGCCGGCAATACTTCCATGGCCTTGTACTTTACGTATCGTTCAATACGACTGTCATTCACCCCTGTATCCCCATGTCTTGATGACTCTCTCTTCAGAAGTATCGGGTTCAGGTCCATGACCTCCACATAGTGGAAATCTCTGATCAGGGATTGTACGAGCTTTTCTTGCGCGAAAGAGTGCAGGACCTTGGTGCCGTGAATCCAATACCACCATATCGGCGATGGATCAAGCTCGGGGACACTCAGCGCAGTATCGTTTGCCCAGAATGGCCAGACATACGTCGTGCCCGTTTGCTCAGGCCGTAGGGAAACAAGCGAAAGCAATTTCGGCAGATGGATAAGGTGTCTTGTGTGGTGCGACCAATCGGCATCGGCATCGAGGGCATCATCGAACATGACGCCTACGACCCTACGACTTGGGGATGTGAAGAAAGGGATGTCCTCATATCCGGATTGCGACCATGAAGTTGGAGCTTCACCTTGGATTACCATCGAGCCCCACATAATTGAATGTGGTTTTCTCCCGTAGGCGAACGCGCAGAAGTAATCCTGTCCATTCCATTCTCTCCTGGTGATGTTGGAATCTTCATATAACTTATACACTTCCAGTCTTGGCACGCAGTCTTCCGCAATTCCGAGTAAGATATACTCCTCCGAGAGGAAGGTGTATGCTTCGATTGGTGAGTCAATCCCATATATCCGCTAAAGCCTTGTTAACAGTATGGACGTCTGAGGATGCTGCCGGGTCACTTACAAATAAAGAAGCCGCAGTCCTCCAATTGTATACCATAATATCCACGTCGCCACGATGATCCTCGTGCCGTAAGTACTCAAGCATAATACCGAGCCTGTCACCGCAGAGTTTTATAGTGAAACAGAGGCTATCATCATGGGGAGTCCGTATGGACGTGACCATCACGGAATCGCTCACGGATGGATGCGGTTTGTTCCCGTTCAAAGTCCGAAGGTGGATCTTGCACGGCACGAAGCCGCCCGCAGGTGGCCTTGGGGTAACAGAGCATCAGTCATGAATGCCTTCTGGCCCAGAAAGTACTGACTCCGGAGGTAACTCTATCATCACTAGCAAATCTTGCGATGGATCCATCTTGAAGTCACGTATGGGAAATCCCACATCCTCGATTGTCCACTCCTTGCCTTCTATACCTCTAGCAATGGCAGGTAGCTTGCGAAACATGAGCGTAGCAGGTTTTGCCCGGTCAGATAGACCTAGTACGCCGCCGCAGAGCTCCCAGAGGTTTCCCGTCAGCGTGACGGTCTCCACTTCAGGCGAAAACGACATTGTTTTCCAGGCTTCGGTATAATTCTTCAGCCGCTGAAGACGCTCACTAACACTGATAGCGCTAGTAGGACCATCCTCCATTCCAGCAACGGCCAGCTCGATCTTGTATTGCAGAACGACGGACTCGTCTATGATGTTCTTTATGCGATGGCATACCTAAACTCGGGAGATTAGCACGAGCGTCTTACCTTTCTGCCTGGGCGACTGACTCTCTTGCATGATACTAAGGTATGCAAATCAAGTTTTTCCAGAATAAGAATGGCGAGTTCTACGGCGATAGAGAGTAGACCCTTCGATGGAGGAGTGGCGAGAACCATGGATCCACCCGAATCAACTATGGATCCGCGTCAACCTCGAGCTGCAAAGGTAGCCTTGAGCCTTCGAATAACAGACAGGCTGTGTGTGGTTTTCCAGAAGTTTGATTCGGAGACTCCAGTTGCACAGTAGTTTCTGAGTTGGACGTACAATTGCAACATCTATAGCCAGCGGTCGATATTCTCGGATATACCCGGAGTCTCCTGATTGGCCGATACAATCCACGGAGGTTAGGCTACCTGTAGTCCGCCCACATTGAAAATGCACTCAAGAGCCTGTAACCATCTGTGTTCGCATACGCTGATTCTTGTATTTAATGCGTAACAGGTCTTGTATACATCATGGGGTCATTACAAACAACTGTTTCAACAGTCGAAATAATAGTAATACCAAGTTCCCTTCGTCGAGACGGCAGGGTGAACGAAGAGTGCAGGATGCAAATCATGTAGATTGACATGCAGAACAAGCAAAGACGAATGTCGCGGTGCAGCGTGTTTCACCCGCGAAGTCTTGAACGTATAAACCAAAAATGCGCGAAGACGAAGACTAATAAAATTTAATAAATTAAGGAGGCCTTCAACGAGAAGGGTATACGAAGAGCAAAGGTCCGGCAAAACAAGACAGACATCAAAGCAGGACAACACAACCATAATGACACATCAGCTCTCTTCAAGCTGTTCGTGACTTGCGGGGAACTCTATCTGAACAGGGCTGTCGACCGGAGAGCTCGTCGTAAGAATACTGCGTCGCGAGGTGATACTCGCGCTCCGCACAACCGATCGTTGACTCCCGCTCCCACTATGACTATGGCTCTGCGGGGTCGCCTCTCGTCCGATGCTCTCCCCAGCGCCATTATTCGCAGCGACAGCATCGAGCTGACGCCAATTCAGGCTGTTGCTCCTGCTCGGCGGCTGGCTGCCCTGATCGCTCATACTGAGCGTATTGGCACGCGTCGGCGGGCGGGAGCCAGACTGCCCGCCCTTCGAATTCGCCAGGCTCATCACCTCGCGCGAGCCGAGTGACTCGATGGTGGGCATGCGCCGCACGTACCCGCCGAGCATGCTGATATAGTCCTCGGGCGTCATCGAGCGCCCGTCCGAGCGCGAGCTAGAGTCTTCCGAGTTGTCCTCGTCGAGGCTGATCACGCGGTGGCGGAGCATCGTCCCGTCCCCCGCCTCGCGCGCGAAGTCCATGCCCTCCTCCGTCTCGCGCGTGATCTGCGTGACCAGCGAGCGGAAGCGGTCCACAAAGTCCATCATCTCGACGTCCTGGCTCTCCTGCAACTCGATGGTGGCGTGCCCATGTCTGCTGCTGTGCTCGCTCCCGCTCTGGTGCCCGCCGTCGGAAGACGACCTGCTCCTCCACAGACCGGGTCGTGGCCCGGCGGTGACGGTTTCCACGGAGCTCCCCCCGCGTTCCTCTGAGTCCGAGTCGTCTTCCTCCGTGCTGCGATGGCCGTGTCCGGAAGAGGAAAGCGAGTTCCTCGAAAGGGCGTGAAGGCCGTCCTTTGTGGATGCGATGCGCGACCGGGAGCTCCGGAGGGATCTGCGGTCGGCGCCGATCGGGGGCATGCCCGTGTCAGAGGCAAAGCTGGCCCGCGTCGAGCGGCTGTGGATGGGACTGTAGTAGGGCGAAAGATTACCCGGGGACATCGGTGGCGAAGCTGTGTGGAGAATGGGCTGTAGTGCAGGCGAGACAGGTAACGATACAGGGGGGCCCATGAGCATAGGCCTCGGATATCGTCGAGACGCGTGGGATCTTGACCGGTTGAGCGCTCGGTTGTAGACATGACATAAAGCATGGTACGACACCTGCAGGAACGTCAGACGTTTTGAAGTGGGAAGAAGTATGGAACGGACGTACGCAGATAGCAATTGTCAGGACTAGTCTAGCAATCGCACCTGCGAGCCAGGCGGCCCAGGTCGCTCGAGGCTCATCATCGCAGGTGGAGGATCCGTTTCCAACCCATATAATATCTACATCCCAGGCGCAGGTTCCATTCACCTGCCACACACTCTCCTTTCTCCGCAGCAGCACGACAAACACCAGATTCACTACGGCAGGGGCTATCAAGAATATAGAGCTTAAGTAAGGTAGCAATATGCGAGTAAGGACTGAGAGTGTGCGGGACGGTCGCCAGGAGAGGGGGGCGAACGTTGACAGCAAGTAACATGCGATGGCGAGCGCGAGGGACACGGCCGACGACGTTCCTAAGGCCAGACAGATGATCTCGACATCATGCGCATCCGCGAAGGAGAACGTAATGAAGTACCGGATGGTCGTGTACGTCGCCCATGAACCTGCAGGAAAGGTCCTGGTGTCAGCATGGATATACAAGGGAGAAAGATACGGTGTTGCACATAGCAACGGGACGGTCCGGCTACGTCCTATGTATACGTGCCGGCGGGACATTGTGCGCAGCGGGAGGAGACATATCGGGCGGTCACGATACCATCCAGGCTGCTCCAAGAGAGCCAGCGTACAAACGGGAGTAGCAACAGCCCGTTGCTACTGGCGTGTTCAGTGACACCTGCTTGTCTCTGCCCACAGGTTCAAATACGAGGGATGCCGCACACACAGCGCCTTCCGTTCCCCTACTTGCTAACGCAATGGGAACCCGGCGGCGAAACTACACCCAGAACACAAGTGTCTACCGACGGCACGTCCTCGGCCTCAAATCCGTACATTATACAACCCGTCCGTGCACACACGACCGAAAGACTGGATAGATGGACTCACCGATCACAAGCCCTAGCGGGACCTGCGCCATACGAAGCCGCCTCAAGCGTTTCGAGCGCGTCTGCGCACGGTAACCCCTCGCCTCTCCAACGGGCAGTGGGCTCGCATCCAACCGAAGTCCGGCGTCCCAGTCCGGGGGAGTCTCTGCGGGGTGAGGTGGCTGCCTCGCGAGCAAGTCATGGTAAGCTGAAGATACCGAGGGAGAGGAGTGCAGGATCGAGTCGGTCGGGTGCGTGTGAGTCGTCGTAGTCGTCAGTGTGACTGTCGAGTGGGAGGACAGCGTGCGTTGGTGCGCCCCTCGCCCGTGGCTGTGGCTGCCACTGAGCGGGCGCGACCCGCTGCTGCTGCTATTGGGGCTTGCGTAGCCCATCTCCGGACTGAACAGGGCATTGTGGATGTAGACTGCGGCCATCAAGCTGGCCCATAGGTGACGACTGCCCCTCTCTAGACAGACAGACGAGCAGGTGCTGAAACCGCCGGGGCGACTTCGCTTCAGAAACGAGTAATGCACGAGACGAGGAGAGAGAGAGGAAAGAGGAAAATCGTGAATTCGTTCGTGAGGGCGTCTAACGCGTTGTTGCTCGCCGTCGTGCCCCTGATTTTATTCGAGCGTCATCAGGAAATGAGTACGCAAATAACGGCACGTCGTTAGGTCCCCAAGCCCGTTTTAGCTGCAGGAACGACTCTCGCTGAGTCGTGGGCGAATAGGGGTTCAGCTTGGCTGCCCGCCACATTTTTGGACCGCTTCTTTCGCTTTGAGCAGCTTCTCCAAAGTGCCGCAACGCCGGCCTTGTGTCTAGACCCCGCCCTTCGCGGTACTTTATTTCCTTCCGCGACATACTCATCCAGCCTCGCACTGCAGCACGAGTACTGTCTATGTTGAAACTTGCGCCTTATTTTCTGCAGGCCAGGATACATAACATCGAAATATCCAGCCACTACGGAATGCCCCATCAATAGCGCCGCCAGATAGACTCTGCCTATGAAGTCATTTGACAGGTTGATTTGAGATCGATGTACTTTATTAGCAAGCCGCCGGGACCGCCCTGGTCCGCGCCCTGGCGGCTGTGCCGAAGGATTCAGACGACGAGGGCGCCGGACGGCGGCACTGGCATCTGACAAAGTGAAAACAGCGCCTGACATCATCCTCGGGCTCTGAAACTATCGATAGGTGGCTCGATATAATGCTTTGACGGCGCACGAAATGATCTACCAGTGGAACACATTTGCCTGCTATCGGGTGCAGAACGGGTGTAGACCGGGGTTAGGGCAACGGGGAGGCGTCCGGACATGAAGAGGGGATGAAATACGAAGGCCGGCGTTCCGTACGGCCTTTGCACCAGGACTTTGGGCACGCGTTTGTGGTATATGTGCGGAAGATAGATTACTGGTTTTCTCCGCGTCGCGCCGTATGAACCAGAGTTTCTAGGTCTTCAGTTAGACATAAGTACGATGGTCGCTTATCTGAAAGCCCCTGTAATCGCCGTAGGAGTATATAGGAAGTCAAGGCGTGCGGTCTCAGGTCACTACTACAGACTAGTAGTAGCATCGTCGGGCGGAGGGGCGATGAGCTCTCTGGCGATAAATGGAGACATTAGCGAGAACACACGTCAAGCACAGCACTATTCGAGGTAATCCTCCTCGTAGACCCGTACATCGCAAGTGCGCCGGATCAAACTGCATAAGACTAGTAGGACCAAGCAGTTATAAGACTCACCGTATGTAGACGAATCAATACAAATTCTGAAATACAGGAGGTCGACGAGGTTCCGGAAGTTATGACGATACACGGATGTTACGCACTAGCAATAGGAGAGAGGTACGATATATCCTGAAGATCCGGAGAGCCCGAGACTGCAATTGCATGCGTACCTGCCTGAGAAACATCTCGGACCTTTGGAAAGCAAGTGAGCTGTAATGCTGAGGAAAGTAGCATGAGGCATGGACCTACCCTAGACACTGCAGGCCTTGAGGATCACCACGTTGTCTGCCACAGACAAAGACTGTACCGTGTACGGAAGTCAGAAGCACTTCATAAATCTGCGTCAAGGTTTGAGTTATAGTCGAGAGGTGAAGGTGGCAAATGAAATTATATATCACGCGGAATTGTGCGTTGTCAGGGCACTAGGAAACTAAAGCTCCCGATAACCTGACGTCTGCTCAGGATATATATCTTGCATGATAACAGTTGTAGGGACAAAGGGTCTAGGGGATTATCTTGATTTGCTCTCATACCTAATGGTCATGTTGATCTATCTGAGGGCCCAAGTTTGGTGGCAAAAAAAAACAACTCGGACGTTTACAAGTCGATATTGGTTCAGAAGTCAGGAAAAAGGGTCTGAGGATTTTCAGCTTACTTTCTACATAGTGGGCTAAATCGACACAGTGGCGAAGTCTGGCAGTGGTCTCCACGAGCAAGCGGGTGAGCAAAGGACTATAAGTTTGACTTCACCACGCCACCGTTCTTCCCCACAAACAACGACAAATCACGGCCCTAAGCGGCGCAGGTCACCTCACAACAGATACACCAATACCACCACCTTCGTCTACGATGGCTCCTCCTATGGCTCCTGGAGGTACGCTAGGCTTTCTACTACGATGGACTTGATACTTCACTGACATTTCAATGCTGCTAATAAGTCCAGAACCGCGCAAGGCGCCCAAGCCGCAGCCCATGGGCAACTTTCCCTTGGTCGTCCTGCTGACGGTTTGTATGCTGTGCATACTGTTCGTGCTGTGGCGGAGAGCTTCGGAGCTCAGGACGGTGGTCTCACATCAGTGTGTTCGCCTATTTGAGCTGTTATTGCGTTGTCTGACCGCAAAATGCAGATTGAAGACGTGGTCAGGGAGAGAAGGCAACATACGACTGTCAGAAGATAACGCACCGCCTGCGAGGGAGTTTCTTGATGATGACTATGATGATGATAACGCTGGGCTAGAGGATGATGAGCCGCTTGCGTATCGCGCTGAACAGCTGCGTATGGCTGGGACGCCGCGGCCAGATGGAGTCGAGCTGACTGAGCAAGGAGCGCCCCTGCCAGTGCCGCGGAAGGTTGCGGCTTGATGATCGTCGGATACTTAGAGAAGGGACATTTCTGTACGTATCCGGTGTAATATGCATCCATGCACTTCAGATATCTTTGTTTTTCAAAGAAAAACCCTATTTACGCCGCCAGGTAGCCAAGCTCCACCGATTCTTGCGAGTCTCTTGAGTGTGCGTTACAGATACTAGTTAGCGTGAAAGCAAACGATCTCGGTCACCTAGAGGAAAGTCTCCCAATCCGTGCTTGGGGTTCGCAGAACCACCGTAGCGAGTGGCTCGTTTTATACTCTCTTGCACTCTTCTCCCGGCTTCTAGGCAGCAAGATGGTTTCCACCACTCCCCAGCGGCCACACACGAATCTAACAAATTCTCTTATGCAGGCCTCCGGATTCTGGCGTCTGCAGGGAGAGGACCGAAGCATGTACTGCATGCTCCGCTGCACCAAATTTCCCAAGGTGTCATGTAGGTGTATGGATGGCGGCTTGCATTGCTCCCTATTCTCTCAGTGCTCAGGATACCAGTATGTCCTCAAATCCTGCTGATACGTGGGCCTTGTTATTTAGGGGAACTGCTTCATTACCACTCTCCTCTCCTGACCGTTGTTCGCCGCTGTGATACACTCTGAACACGAAGTGCAGCAGTCACGGTAGGACAATCGCCGCTCATGGCTGGCCTAGCAATTGCCTCCGCGCCCCCGTTTCCCTGTACGTCAAGCGTGGCTCGCCACCTACGCTCATTCTGGGCCTTTTCGTTCCGCCCGCTGCATTCCTTTTCTCTGGTGGGGAGGTGTAGCCGGCGTATGTTGTGGCAGCCTGGCAGGAGGCGCTGAGGTGCGGGTCATGGTTTCGGTGCCGGAGACTTTGCCGCGACCGGCCCGTCGCGGACCTGAGCGTCCCCCGAGGTCACCGACCCAGCGTTGCGCCAAGTCGCTTCGAATCCCTTGTACTCTTAGTAACTCTAACTTACCTGCGTCTCGTTACAGGAGTCCCTTTATGATAAGTCGGCTCTGGATATGCGCCTCCGTTCTCACGGTGCTCGCTGTATTCCCACTTCTGCTTTTCTTCTGATCTCGTCGCGCAAAGACTGTTAGAAAACAACAATGTTCCGGTGTACAGCTGGAACATCCTCATCAGAGAAGTCAGGGCGAGTTTATCACGAGCGGGATACTCTGACCAACGCCAGCGGCCCGCTGCCGTGTTCGGATTTATATTTCAGTGAACGGGCTGCAAGCTCGTACAAGGGCATCATCCTACCATTCATTCATTTACGATGTGGGCAGCGTACGCGTCGTGGAGCGTCCTGCTCACCCTGTTCACCCCGGCGGTGCGCGCGATTGGACAGGCGACCTGCGTCTCGTTCTCGCCTTCCTCGGCTTCGTTTGCAGTGGTCAGAAATGGCACCGCTGCAACGATTCTACTCTCGTCTGACGATTGGCCCGGAGTCCAGCGTGCTGCCGGCGACTTCGCGACGGATGTGCAGCGCGTGTCTGGTGTACTGCCGACTCTAGCTAACTATACCTCTGGCTCTGGTGCCAACTCGTCTGCACCCATCATTGTTGGGACACTCGGTCATTCCTCGTTGATCGCGCAGGTCGTGAATAATACCGGACTGGACGTTTCCTCTATTGAAGGCCAGTGGGAGGCCTTCTTGACGAGGGAGGTGCAGAACCCGCTTCCTGGTATTTCCAGCGCATATGTTCTCATTGGTGCGGACAAGCGAGGGACTATCTATGCGCTGTATGATCACTCTGAACAAATGGGTGCGTCGCACTCATGTTCATAGAGCTCCGTACAGGCGGTTGATTTATGTATATCTCAGGCGTTTCTCCTTGGTACTGGTATGACTCATTAACTGAGACGATGGATGGGGCCGACAGCACTGATGCTTTCGCAGGTGGGCGGACGTACCCACCACACCCAACTCGGAAATATACTTCGCCTCCTCGGGCTGCCAGCACGGCGCACCGACTGTCAAGTACCGCGGTATCTTCCTCAACGATGAGGCACCGGCACTAACGAATTGGGCGATTGAGAAGTATACCAATGGTACAGGCTCGGCCGCCACAAACTCCCCTTTTCAGTCGTCCTTCTACACTAGCCTGTAAGTGATCACCTTGGTTGGGGAGACGTACGTGGAGCTGAAACGTTCCCGCGTAGGTTCGAGTTGCTGCTCAGATTGAAGGCGAATTATTTGTGGCCCGGTAAGCGATAACGTACTCACATCGCATCATACCGAATAAAGTAACGACTTCTCTTGCACCAGCAATGTGGAGCAGGTATGCCTGTCGTACTTACTCGACATATCCTCCCTCTGACTGTTTGTAGTGCATTCTACGTCGACGACCCTCTTAACCCCTACTACGCCGACCTGTACGGCATTGTAATGGGGACCAGGTGCGCCTGATTGTCGTTGAAACGATGAACGAAGGAGTCTAATGCCCACCCTAGTCACGAAGAACCAATGACGCGCTCCACGCCCGTCGAATGGAACATCTACGGAAGCGGCGTGTGGGATTACAGTGTTAACCAACAAGCAATCTACGATTTCTGGGTGCAAGGCGCTGAGAGGTCAAAGGAGTACGAGACACTGTATACCGTCGGTATGCGAGGTGCCGGTGACGGTGCGTATTTTTCTCTTCCTGCCCCTACGGACAAATGTTTGATAAAGGGACTTGTCTGCAGAGCCTTTGGCAGAAGGACAAAATATTGAGCTCTTGGAGCAGGTTGTCTCGGACCAGAGGGGTATCCTGGAGACGGTGTTCAATGGAACTGGGAAGACCATCACGGAAATCCCGCAGACGTGGTGCTTATGTCAGAACACATATCTCATGGGTGAATTCATGTCACTGACTGTTGTGTGCACAGACAAAGAGGTCCAGGGATACTACGAAGACGGGATGACTGTTCCTGACGATGTCACGCTCATGTGGACGGACGATAAGTAAGCGGATCATCCCTCGCTATCGATAAGCATACATGCTGATCTGTGCAGCTGGGGGAATATCCGACGCTTGCCTACGTCCAGTGAGATGAACAGGACTGGAGGTGCGGGCGTCTACTACCACGTAAGCGATATACCGCTCCGTTCCTTCGACGTCTGACTGTCTTCAACGATATTAGTTTGACTATGTACGTCCATTACGTCTCTCGGTGCAACCCGATAGTTGAATGTCGCAGGTCGGAGGCCCGCGTAGCTACAAATGGATAACAACTACACAGATATCTAAGGTGAGTCACTCATGCCTTCTCGACCACATTGTTCTTGCTGTCCATTCCATTTCTTACACCGCGTCAGATCTATGAGCAAATGTCCCTCGCCGTGGATCGAGAAGCCACTCGCATCTGGATCGTCAACGTTGGCGACCTGAAGCCTTACGAGCTGAACATCGAGTTCTTCATCACCCTCGGTTATAATTCGTCTGTGTGGAATCCCGACAACCTGGACAGCTTCGTAACAAGATGGGCCGAACGAGAATTCGACGTCCCGGCTTCGACGGCTTTACAAGTCACGGGCATGATTGGAAACACCACCAGGATGACTGCAAGGAGGATTCCTGAGTTGATGAACTCTACGGTCTATACCTTGACGGACTACCGGGAGTGAGTGATCTGTGACATCGAAAAGATCCTTTAAGGGGCTGATCTCCTCTCAAGGGCCGATAACGTGATGTCTGAGTGCCAAAGCCTTATCCAACAGTCGACGCAGATATACAACTCACTCTCGGCCACATACCAGCCCGCGTTTTATGAGCTTGTGCACCACACGGTCCTCGCTAGTGCCACTCTCCATCTGATGTGGATCTACGCTGGAGTCAACAACCTAATGGGCTCGCAGGGCCGTTATGCCGTGAACACGTACGCGGATCTTGTGGAACAACTGTTTGAACAGGACTACGATTACGAGGATCAATATCATACACTATTGGATGGTGCGTCTCCGGTGCCACACAATCACGTATTGGGTTAATCTGGCGGGAAATCTCACAGGGAAATGGGATCAGTGAGTGCTGCTGTGATGGCCTGGACACATCTACAAGACCCCTATGTAGCATGATGGATCAAACGCATGTCGGATACGTCTTCTGGGACCAGCCAACGACCAACAAGTGTGTCTAGCAGGGTCACGACTTACAGCATGACTAACCGCATAATCTTAGCATGCCCATGATAACTCGTATGCAGGCCAGAAAGGAGAATATTGCCGGTGTAATGCGTATTGTGCCAGAAGGCACCATGGGCGCGTGGTACGATTACTCAATATCCTCCCGGAGGATCTACCTTTTAACGCGCTGGTGCACAGGCCTGGCGATAACAAATACAATTGCGCCAACTGCCCTATAACCCTAGATCCGTACATGCCGTTCGGGAACCGGTACGTCGACATTGGCGCAGGCGGCCCGGCACCGTTCAGCTGGAGGGCCAGCACGAATGCATCCTGGCTCAACGTGAGCACCACGTCGGGGTCTATCGACACGAACAACTCGGAGACACGCGTGTATGTCAGCGCCAACTGGAGCCAGGTCAGCGGGGTCCAGTACGGCGCGGTCACTTTCAGGGCGACGACGCCCAATCCACCCAACCCGGGACAGACTGTGCTATCTCAATCGGTGTACTTCGTCGCTAATAACACTTCACCTGCCGCCGGGTTCTCAGGTTGGCGACCGCCCTTTTCTTCGCAGATATGGGAGGTAGACTGACCTCAGTGATTGGCTGTAGGGTTCGTGGAGGGAGACGGAGGCATCTCTATCGAAGCAGCTCATACGTCCCGGAACACGTCCGTAGCAGGCATCACCTGGAAGGAGATTCCGAACTACGGCAGGACCATCTCGGGCGTGACCCCTTGGCCGCGTACCGGCGACAACGGCGGTAACTTCACCGCAGGCACTGGGCCCAGCATGTGAGTCTAAGCACTGCGGGAACTGCATTGCATATCGTGAGTTGGGCTCGCTAATCGTTCGTCGCTATCTTCAGTGAGTATGACTTCTATAACTTCAATACCATCAGCCAAACCGGACGTGTCACTGTGACGACGTACGTCTCGCCATCACTGAACGCGAACGGCGACGATCGCCCGCTGGGTTTTGCCATCGGTATAGACAATGGGACGGTGCAGTCGGAGTACTTTGTCCCATATGCGACGCCAGGGCAGCTGCCGCCTCAATGGGACGGCCTCGGCGGCTGGGTAGCGGACGCGATCATTCCGGTGGCGACGACCTTCACGATCGCACCTGGTGCCCATACTCTGAAGGTCAGTTCGGTAGAGCGTTGCCTGTTGATAGCCATTGATTACTGATTTCCTTTACCGGTGCAGATTTGGATGATCGAGCCCGCCGTCGTGGTCCAAAAGATTGTCATTAATACTGGAGGACTGCGGTACAGCTATCTCGGTCCTCCGCAGAGTGTCACGGTTGAGTAGCTCGGATGAAGGTTCATATATATTCTTCCCACGTTCTTTAACTTTCATTCTATTCGGACAACCGCCGTATACCCGTAGTGTTCAGACGCAGTGCGGACAATGTGCGTCGCTGCCGCTCGTTTTCTTTGATTGTTCTGGCACCGACTATATGTTTGTCTGTTACTAAGTATACCCAGCTGGCATGCATCACGGTCCTTCTTTATACCCTGAGCGCAAAGGTCCAGAAGCTGATTCGCGCGTTTCTGCTTGAACTGATCATGAGCTCATAGCTGCTCATAGCCACATAAACCTAAGTGGACAGTATACATACTATATGAGGTAGGCACCGTCGTGACCCGGGCTTGTTCTTCCGAGTGTTGTTACATGTCTATGTCGCGCTGCGATACTGACGCCCTGTGTAGCGGTGAGCTAATAACAAAGCTAATTATAGCTAGTTTCCGCCATTGCCCGTCTGACTCTCAAGCGCTAACTTTACCCTGAATCTTCACCTGTCTTCGCACCGTTCTCCCTGTTATTTCATTCTTGCGAGCTTCAGACTTGTCTTCTGACCGCGTCGCGGCGTTGCGGAATATTTGGACCCCTTATAAAACGACCCTCCGGTCTGCAGCCTCACCGAAGTATAAGCCCCGAAATTTATCCATGGACACAGAAGCCAGGGCGAGCTGATCACGAGCATGCTCGGGGATACTTCGACGAGCAGCAGCGGTCCGCTGCCGCGGTCATATTTCAGTGAGTGGGTGCAAGATCGTACACGGACACCGTCCTAGTCCTCGTCCTTCACGATGTGGGCAGCGTACGCGTCTTGGTGCGTCCTGCTCACCCTGCTCACCCCCGCCGTTCGTGCGATTGGACAGGCGACCTGCGTCTCGTTCTCGCCATCCTCAGCGTCTTCCGGAGTGACGTCGTTTGCGGTCGTCAGCAGTGGCCGCGCTGCACCCCTCCTGCTCTCGTCTGATGAATGGCCGGGCGTCCAACGTGCCGCGGGCGACTTTGCGGCGGACGTCCAGCGCGTAACTGGTATATTGCCTACCCTAGCCAACTTCACGTCTGCCTCTGGCTCAGGGAGCGGTAGTGGGAGCAGTGCGCTTGCACCCATCATAGTCGGAACTCTGGGCCAGTCTTCGCTGATCGCACAGGTTGTGAATAATACCGGACTGGACGTATCCTCGATTGAGGGACAGTGGGAGGCGTTCTTGACGAGGGAGGTGCAGAACCCGCTTCCTGGTATCTCCAGCGCGTATGTGATGATCGGCGCGGACAAGAGGGGGACTATTTACGCGTTGTACGATCACTCTGAGCAGATGGGTGCGTCGCAATCACTGTATTAGCGCTCCGTACAGCCAGTTGATAGGATGTGTATCTCAGGCGTTTCTCCCTGGTACTGGTACGAAGCGTCCACTGAGAGTAAAGGTGGGGCGGCAGTACTCATACTTTCACAGGTGGGCGGACGTACCTACCACGCGCAACTCGGAAATATACTTCGCCTCCTCTGGCTGCCAGCATGGCGCACCGACAGTCAAGTACCGCGGTATCTTCCTCAATGACGAGGCCCCAGCACTGATGAACTGGGCTATGGAGAAATATACCAATGGAACGGGCTCTGCTGCGACTAACTCGCCCCTGCAGTCACCCTATTATACAGGCTTGTGAGTGACTACTCTGTTTGGGTGACTCTGATGGGGCTGCAACGGCTGCCGTGTAGGTTTGAGTTGCTGCTCAGACTGAAGGCGAATTATTTGTGGCCTGGTAAGACGGGAGGTATTCATATCAAAATGTGCTGAATGTAACACGTTCCCTTCCACTAGCAATGTGGAGCAGCGCATTCTACGTTGACGATCCTCTTAACCCGTACTATGCCGACCTGTACGGCATTGTGATGGGAACTAGGTGCGTTTCTTTGTCATTATCAAGGGGCAGGAGTGTAATGCCCATCCTAGTCACGAAGAACCAATGACGCGCTCCACCCCCGTCGAGTGGGACATCTACGGGACTGGCCCATGGGACTACAGCGTCAACCAGCAGGCGATATACAATTTCTGGGTGCAAGGCGCTGAGAGGTCAAGAAACTACGAGACGTTGTACACCGTTGGCATGCGAGGCGCTGGTGACTGTGCGCGTCTTGCCATTTATCATGTGAAGACGGATGTATTAATGAGGGAACATGGCTGCAGTGCCTTTGGCGGAAGGACAAAACATTCAGCTATTGGAGCAAGTTGTCTCGGATCAGAGGGGCATTCTGGAGAACGTGTTCAACGGAACTGGGAAGACCATCACAGAAATTCCGCAAATGTGGTGCTTATGTCGGTACCCGATTATGCTCATTAGGATTATATCTCTGACTGCTATGTGATAGACAAAGAAGTCCAAGGATACTACGAAGACGGCATGACTGTCCCTGACGATATCACGCTAATGTGGACCGACGACAAGTAAGCGATCCCTTGGTGACATCGGATGTGTATTGGGCGCTGATCTGTATGTAGTTGGGGAAATATCCGGCGTTTCCCTTTATCTAGTGAGATGAACAGGACTGGCGGTGCTGGTGTCTACTATCACGTAAGCGGCATGTTACCCTCTCAGTTCATCTCTGATCCCGTGAGCCAATGCTAGTTTGACTATGTAAGTCTGTTACATTTCTCAGTATGACATAGTATAGACGGATGGCACAGGTTGGAGACCCCCGTAACTTCAAGTGGATAACGACTACGCAAATAGCTAAGGTGAGCTGATCTCGGGTACTCATCCACCATCATTCCTCATACTGCATTAGACCTACGAAGAAATGTCCCTGGCCGTGGACCGTGAAGCCACCCGTATTTGGATTGTCAACGTCGGCGACATGAAGCCCTACGAGATGGATATCGAGTTCTTCATTACCCTCGGCTGGAACTCGTCCGTGTGGAACCTTGATAATCTGGACAGCTTCGTGACGAGCTGGGCTGAGCGGGAGTTCGACGTGCCAACTTCAACAGCTCTTCAGATTACTGGTATCATCGGGAACTACACGAGGATGAACGCGAGAAGGACGCCGGAGTTGATGAACTCCACGGTGTATACACTGACTGACTACCGGGAGTGAGTGATACAAGAGGGGGTTCTTTGCGGTACTTGATCGTCGTCTTCAGGGCCGATACGGTGTTGTCTGAGTGGCAAAGCCTTGTCCAACAGTCGACACAGATATACAATTCGCTCCCGGCCGCATATCAGCCCGCGTTCTACGAGCTTGTGCATCACACGGTCCTCGCTAGCGCTAACCTCAACGCGATGTGGATCTACGCTGGAGTCAACAACCTGATGGGCTCCCAAGGCCGTTACGCGGTGAACAACTACGCAGACCTTGTGCAAGAGCTGTTCGAGCAGGACTATGAGTACGAGTATCAATATCATACATTATTAGATGGTGCGTTTTCCCGTGCAACGTTGACAACCATGGGTTTATCTGAGGCTAAATTTTATAGGGAAATGGGATCAGTAAGTATCCGTTGTGATAGTCCGGCGGATGCATCCTAACCCTGTTTAGCATGATGGATCAAACACACGTTGTATACGTCTATTGGCAAGAGCCAACGACCAACACGTGAGGCCACCAGCATTGAGAGATTAGAAAACAAAACACACTGACCGTTCCGTCGTAGGATGCCCATGGTGACCCGGATGCAAACTAAAAAGCAGAATATCGCCGGCGTGATGCGCGTTGTTCCAGAAGGGACCTTGGGCGTTTGGTACGGCCCATATACTCCCCCGGAGGCTTAGATTAACGCGCTCGTCCGCAGGCCCGGCGACAACCAATACAACTGTGCTCAGGGTTACAGCTGCCCCAACCCGACCATGACCCTGGATCCGTACATCCCGGTCGGAAACCGGTACATCGACATTGGCGCGGGTGGCCCAGCGCCGTTCAGCTGGACAGCTAGCACAAATGTATCATGGCTCAATGTGAGCACCACATCGGGATATATCGACAGCAATAACTTGGAGACGCGCGTATATATCACCGCGGATTGGAGCCAAGTCAGCGGGCTCGAATACGGGATGGTAACGTTCAATGCAACGACACCAAATCCGCCCACCCCGGGACAGACCGTGCTATCCCAGCCGGTGTACTTCATGGCCAATAACACTTCGCCAACGTCTGGGTTCTCAGGTCGGCGTCCTCCGTATCGGAAGATATGACAGGTAGCTTAACTTGCGTGATTTACTGCAGGGTTCGTAGAGGGGGACGGAGGCATATCGATCGAAGCAGCTCATACCTCTCGGAACACGTCTGTCGCGGGCATCACCTGGACGGAGATCCCGAACTACGGCAAGACCGTCTCGGGCGTCACTCCTTGGCCGCGCACGGGCGACAACGGCGGCAACTTCACCGCTGGCACTGGCCCCAGCATGTGAGTCCAACTACTGCTAGAATTGTGCGGTACATCGTTAATTGTCGCTCTTCCTAGCGAGTATGACTTCTACAACTTCAACACCATCGGCCAAGCCGGGAACGTCACTGTGACGACGTACGTCTCGCCCTCGCTGAACGCGAACGGCGACGACCGACCGCTGGGCTTCGCCATCGGTATAGACGACGCCACACCTCAGTCGGAGTACTTCGTCCCGTACGCGACGCCAGGCCAGCTACCGCCGCAATGGGACGGCGTCGGCGGCTGGGTAGCGGATGCAATTATTTCGGTGCCGACGAACTTCACGATCGCACCTGGTGCGCATACGCTGAAGGTTAGTTGGTATTATGCTGTCTCTTCATCTCGGCTACTGATTTAGTCCTGCTTCTCCTTTCTTCTTGCCGTAGATCTGGATGATCGAGCCTGCAGTTGTGGTCCAAAAGATTGTAATCGACACTGGAGGTGTACGACCGAGCTATCTCGGTCCTCCTGAGAGTATTACAGTTTAGGGGATGGAGTGGGCATGTAAAATATGTTGAATTTACATGACCTGGGGAGACTCGATTTGTGCTCAATCTGCGTCTCAGGTGGATGAGAACTAGGTGACCGAACCCTTCCTGAAGCAAATTACTGCTATTTGCGGAACGTAAGGCGGTGCGCCACTTTCGAGGCGCGAGATGGCCTCCGGACAAGAACAATCCATAGCACCTGTGGCAGGGCTTGGATTGACTCAAAAATTTGTACATGGGGTTTTCAATATAGAAAATGTGGTAGCGAAGGAACAGCGACATCCGGCCCATGAGATGTCCGTAGACTAAGGGTGCTGTGGAGGCATTGTAGGAACAGTAGCCGGTCCATTAAAGGGGGAGAAAGTGTCACATCCATTGAATACTTCGTACACAGACTCAATGTATGTACGGAATGTCGAATTAAATCGGCGAAGCCCAAATAATGTACACTGACTGTGTGACATGCCAGTTACTCCTCCTGGACAGTCATTTAGGTGCAGAGCTTCTCAGAATTTGTAGGGTCTCATAAATTTACAAAATGCTCTAAGATGACTTTTCAGGATCATATTGAACCAGATAAAAAATCACTGTTCCCCCAAAGCCAACGGTGCCCGACTTATTCCCGAAGGAGGCACGACGCGTCCAGATACCGTGACGTCACGAGATAAATGAGTTCCCACGAGCGCGCCAGCGCGTCTCGGGCAGGGCTCGGGCACAGTTCTCGAGTCTCTCAATCGTTCGCTCCGTCCCCAGACTGCTTTATGAATACTGCCCGTACGTAGACATATACGAATAAATTTTGAGTAACCCGGTATGAATTTACGAGACCCCTACAAATTCTGAGAAGCTCTGCACCTTTAGCTAAATGACTGTCCAGGAGGAGTAACTGGCATGTCACACAGTCAGTGTACATTATTTGGGCTTCGCCGATTTAATTCGACATTCCGTACATACATTGAGTCTGTGTACGAAGTATTCAATGGATGTGACACTTTCTCCCCCTTTAATGGACCGGCTACTGTTCCTACAATGCCTCCACAGCACCCTTAGTCTACGGACATCTCATGGGCCGGATGTCGCTGTTCCTTCGCTACCACATTTTCTATATTGAAAACCCCATGTACAAATTTTTGAGTCAATCCAAGCCCTGCCACAGGTGCTATGGATTTTTCTTGTCCGGAGGCCATCTCGCGCCTCGGCCTTACGTTCCGCAAATAGCAATAATTACACATACAGATAGATCGTTTGTGACAGAACGACTATATCATAGTATATGTCTGTGAATCCACTCGTCAGACCTCAAAAACGCGATCAGTTCACGGTAACGAATATTATTTAAATAGTACGGACGAGTCGGTATTCCCAGTAATCTGCCTTCATTAGACTACACCGTAACTACAATACCATCCATAACACCCATTCACTCAAGTGCACGCAAAAGCACCCTCAACTCATCCTCGCCCAGGCCCCACCGCTCGCCATCCCGTCCCTCCCGCTCAAGATACTTCCTCAGCTTCTTCTTTTCCTCCTCCTCGAACCCGCCCCCGCACGACATCACGTACGTGGTCAGCAGCCGCACGACCTTCTCCTCGAAGTCCGCGTCGCCCTCGTTCTCGCCGTCTTCTCCGTGTGGTACCGGTGACACCAGTGCGTTGATGAGCGCGGGGAGGAGGGCCTTGCTGCGCAGGGCGGTGAGCGTGGGCGGGGAGGTGTTGAGTGCGGAGGGGTCCGCTTGGAGGGCGGCGTGTGAGTTGGGGTGGACGGGCGCGGAGGGGGTGTCGGGGGTGTGGAGGTTCGGGTTGGGTGTGGACGAGGAGGTGGACGATGATGAGTGGAGAGTCAGGGCAGTGGAGGCGGATGATGTTGAGCTTGTCGGGAGTTGAGACGGACTCGTAGTTTGAACCTGGGGTTCGAGCTGGGGTTGGGGCGCAGGTGCTTGTGCTTGTGTTTGTGCATGTGCCGACTCATTGGGAATGAGCAGGGCATTGATCAGAAACGCCGTTTTCCTGCGAACAGTAATATCTGAATCTAACCGGTAAACCCATCAGCACAGCCGCCGCGAGCAACACTCAACCTACGCACCTTCGAGCGCACTCCGCAGCACCTCCCACCCGCCCGCCTCCTCCAACTGACGCACCGCGCTCGCATTATGCTTGAGGATCCCCGAGAGCGCGTACACGGCCTTTGACCTTGTCTGCGCGGGCACGCTCGGCGCGAGGAAGGACAGGATCGTGGGGAGTGGCGACATCGCGAGGAAGACGTTCTGCGCGGCGGGGTTGTTCTGCACGGCGGTGCCGATCACCCAGAGGACTTGGCGCTTTATCTCGTCGGTCGACCCGGGGGAGGTGAGGAGGTCGTGCAAGGGTTGCCACATTTTCAGCTTTTCGAGATCTAGGGAGCGAGGGGGTAAATGTGGGTATGATACGTATTGGGAGGAGACAACGGGGTCAGTGTTGTGCAAGTCAAGGGCATGTCAATGACGTCGACGACCGGTGGGGGACTGCACTGGTCGTTGGCTCGGACACCCGCGACTATCACAAGCTGGCTCATGACTAGCCCATCATATCTTCAGTGAGGCAGAGGCTCGGTGAACAATGCAGGACTCGACTGTTTCAATTCACAATCTCAAGGGATCACTGCAGTTCTTTAGCTTGATTCTGTCCTCAACGATGCTACGAAGGGATGGCCACGAGCCTTCCTCCGGATGAAGGTCCGACAAAGCGCGACCGCGGCCAGGAGAATTCTGCCATTAGCGATATTACTGCAGCCAGCCATCGGGGAGGCCTTGAGAACAACAAACCCAGAACAACAGGACTTGCTGTGTGACCTGTCCGACCGGACAACACTGGCCCCTGGTTCTGCAGTAACTCACCATTCGCATTGTCAATACTCTCAATCAACTAGACAACCACAACGTGCGTCAGCCAAAATCGAATTACAAGAGAAATGTAATCCCATATACCATCTCGAAATCATCCAAAGCCTGCACCCGTTCCTCCTCACTCCGCCCCTCGTCCACCGCCACCGCCAGCTTCTCCTTCATCTGCTCCGCGTCGGGCTTCCCCAGGATCATGTCGATAATCTCTGGGTCGAGTTTCTTTGGTTCTGGGCGCGGTGCGGAGCCATCTTGCGATGGTGCGCCGGCATGCTCGATACTCCAGCGTAAAAGGGACTGCATTTTGAGTTATTCGTTGGTTCGTGGTCGTACGCAGATGATACAGCAGAGAGACAAAAGAAAAGATGTTATCGATACAGCAGGATGGGGGATAAAGTAAAGATACAAGAGCAAGAAAGACTGGAAGTGGAGAGGTGTATATTATGCAGCCTTCAGAGGAAGGTGCTCGAATGAAGTAGATATTGCGTCCCGATTTGGAAATACATATTATCCAAATCAGGCAACGCTTTGGGATATGTCGAGATCAACCCTCAGATCTCCGCCGATTCAAGTTAGAGCACTCATATGCATCCTCTCGGCTGAAAGGTAGCCTGAACACGCATTACCACTCAAACTATATTTACGCAATTAACGCCCCTACTGTGATGCGCGACACTGTAAAAACTTTGACTCGCGAATTGTTTATGTTTAGCAGCGGAACACTCCCTCTACTTAGCTCCCTTTAGTCATCTGAGCCGAGACGTCATATAAGAGCACAAGCACAACCGCAAGACGCAATCTACCGCTGCCTCTCTGAAGCCTGTACAATGGTGTCAAATATCCCTGCCATGTCTCGAGAGTATCGGCTTGCAAAGGCGAGGCGTATTCAATAGGCGTCGTGGACTTACACCAACCTCCCATAGAATGAAGGGATCCAATCGCTCACATTGCGTGAAGCGCCGGTCCCTACCCCCGGCGACAAGGAAGTCCTAGTCAAAATCCACGCCGTCTCGCTGAACGTACGTCGCAAGCCGCCTCACATTCACTCACAGTTGGCAAAGCCGCATACCTCGCAGTACAGAGACCTCCTAGTAGCCAACAACGCGCACCCCTTCCAGTGAGCCACTCGCACACTCCTCCAATCTCCCTCTCCCCAACCCATACCCACCCAACCGCAGCAACAAACCGAACCTCGTCCCCGCCGCGGACGCCTCCGGCACGGTCGTCGCGCTCGGGCCCGCCGTTACACGGTGGCGCGTCGGCGACCGCATCTCGTCCAACCTCGCGCCGGACCACATCCACGGCGACGCCGGGCCCGGCGGGCTCGGGCCCGTCCTGGGCGGCAGCGTCGACGGCGTGCTCACTGAGTACCGCGTCTTCGCCGAGCACGTAAGTACGCTTGCATCCACCCTCCCGCCGCGCCCGCGACATACTGTCACGATGCCTATGGCTATGCAGAGCCTGGTGAGGATCCCCGCGAACCTGACGCACGCGGAGGCGGCGACCCTACCGTGCGCGGGCGTGACCGCGTACAACGCGCTGCTCGGCCCGCGCCCCGTCAGGGCGGGAGACACCGTGCTCGTCCTTGGCACGGGCGGCGTGTCGGTCTTCGCGCTGCAGATTGCGCGCGCAAGCGGGGCGGCGGTGATCGTGACGAGCGGCAGCGACGAGAAGCTCGCACGGGCGACGCAGCTCGGCGCGACGCATGTTATTAATTACAAGAAGACGCCGGATTGGGAGGAGGAGGTGCTGCGTCTCGTGAGTGGATTCATTCCCTGCGTAGGGATCGCGGTGTTGACGGGATGGGCGGAGACGAATGGGAGGGGGGTAGACCATGTCATCGAGGTGCGCAGCTCACTTGGGGATGACTGCGTTGGTTCACTGCGAGAAAGGTCGGCGGCCCCGGCACCTTCGACAAGTCCATCGCCGCCGTGCGCATGCAGGGCAACATCCACGTGATCGGCTTCCTCGCAGGGGTGAGCGCCCTCCGTCAGGATCCACGAACGTTTGACCTCAGAATGACGCTTACTCCGCACCAAGGCAGCCGACGTCCCCAACCTACCGATGAAAATCCTGCAGAAGGGTATCAACGTGCGCGGCATCCTCGTCGGGCCGCGTTCCTCGTACGCCTGCTCCGCCGTTCATCCATGGGAGAACAGGGACGCTGAGCGAGTGACTTCAGGTTCGAGGAGCTGGTACGGCTCGTCGAGGCCAACGACGTCAAGCCCGCGGTGGACAGGGCGTTTCCGTTCGAGCAGGCCAGGGAGGCGTACGCGCACTTGCAGGCGCAGAGGCACGTCGGCAAGGTGGTCATCCAGGTTGCGGAGGATTGAGTGTTTCCTGGTATGAGATCGGTGGGCCTGTGACTTGTATTAGCACGAAGTGCGGACCATAAATGTGCTCTCCGGAGGGGGGCATCAGCAAATGTTACCTGGTGGGCATTAGAGTAATCCATGCGCATGACCCGGGCTGCCGCTGGGCGCCTCACTCGTAAGATAAGCGACTGACCAGTTCCGCTGTACCCGTGCCTGCATATTCCAAGCTGTGAAGACCAATCCTGGTAGCACCCACCACAAAGACCCGCCGTCATCCGTCATACTCCTCGGCGCCGCCAGTCAAACGAGGGGGTGTAGTCCGCCCTTCTTTGACATGGTCACGTCTGAGATCGTATGACGGACACTCGGCCCAGATACCAACGCCAGATACTGCATGCAACCCAATACAACCCGGAGAAAGTTGGCTCGGGGTCCGGGGGTCGAGCAAATGACAACCGTAATATCCGTCTTCCAGGCTCTGGACGTAGTGTTGTCCAACTGCACGCTCCGTGTATGAGAGCGTCACAGGCTGTCGAAAGGGAGGAACTGAAGGTGGCGGAGGCACTCGTTCGATAACTCTGCGCAGTCCGCTACATAGTGTGTGGTCTAGACTTGTACACGGCATTTCCTCAGTACGTCCGAGGATGCGGGCAATGGGGCGTTATCGGCTCACCTTCATCGCAGCCTGCAAGTCTGTTTCGAACAAGGAGCACTTTCTAATCGACACTTATGCTGGTCTTGGGCAATACGACCCCTCGAAAAAGCAATCCCACGGCTTGCTAAGACAAGTCAGCACTATTGGGTGTATAAGCCCTAGTGGCTGCCCAAGCGTCTGCTGTGTGGCCTAACGGGTCTGCGTTGCGGCTGTAGCTCGTAGATCTGGGTTCAAATCCTTAGGACTGCAAGTTTGGGTTAGGGTAGGTTAGGGTAAGTGGGGGGTCCGGGGGGGAACCCCCCGGTTGGTTAAGGTTCGGGTTAGGGTGAGGTGGTTAGGGTATGGGTTACAGGATATCGATAAAGGGGGGTTCCGGGGGGGAACGCCCCGGGTTGGTTAAGGTCTGGGTTTTCATATAAAATATGCTCTGGAAGTGATTTGATATGCTACCCTGACCTTAGGACCGTCTCCTAGCGTCGGGAACAGTGACAGCCACGGCGCTTGCCATATTTGTAGTGCTTTGTCAGCTTATTCGTGGGATTGTTATTTCGAGGGGTCGTATTGTGCAAGTTCTTATGCTGGATCGACGCGTCCACTATAAATTAACATAATTGGCGGTTCTGATGTCCGACGCGGCGGAGTTTGAAGCATCAGAAAATCATTCAAAATGCTTTGCGATGTGTCCGTACTTCGTCTTTGCTTCGTCTCGTCTGCTTTTTGTCGCGGTGAATGGGTTGCTGCAGAGAGTATTCACGCTCCAGAGGTGGGTGTTTTACTTAGTCATTCATTGCACTCTGCGACGTCTTCCCGCTCGCAATGATGATACCCATATCGACCTTTACCACATTCAGAACTACACATGTAGACAAAACCGTTTGTTTCAGCCTTGACTGATCTATCCTGCCCACCCACCCGTTCTGCGTTTCCTTGCATCTTTCTGACCCTTTACCACAGGTCTGTTACCCCACCGTGATCTCTTCCTTTCGAGGATAAGGGCAATAGGGTGAGTGCACGTTTTCCCTGCTTGGCTAGCCGTGTCTTTGCGTTGCCTTGATGAAAACTGTCGATGGGCGGACACGAACGCCACCCGCCCGCGAAGCCTCCTGGTGTACAATGTGGAGGTGGGCGGGCTGCTTGTTGATATTCATCGAACTCTGACTTCCTCGCTCTCCCTCTCTTTCGCTTTCTTCCATCCCTCCATCCTTTTGCATGGAAAGCAGTCCGACTGACCAGTGCTTTCTGTCTCCAGGATTCACAGAACTTGGTTTGGGACCTTTACTCCCCGATCACGCGTGACCTGGCAGGTGGCTTGTTCTCCGGGTATTTACGTAGTCTGTCTCTGCTTGTATATATGATACCGCTCTTCTCCATACACTTCATCGCTATTGGAATCGTCATTTTTGCCATCCGCTGACGCTGGAGCTGCACTCGCTACCTCCCGAGACTAAATTCTAAGCTCGGCGACCGCAGCACCGCCCTGCAACCACGCTGGTCTTCGCCATGATACCCTCGCCTCTGCGCTATTTCTGAACCGTCCTTGAGTGCATATTGCGATAGAGTACTCCCGGGCGTGCTAGTCAGCTGCAGTACTTATAACGGCGCTTTCTTTCGTTGCTTTGGACCTGTTCCCCCCTTCTCCATGGGCGTCCGGACAGTCGTCGCGAGCGCGGCTGCGCCTCTCGTCTACCGCTTCTTCTCATCGCGCGAGCGCAAAGGCAAGACGCCCGAAGACGCAGAGCACCAGCCGCTCCTCACACCTGTTCCCACCTACGCAGGGGACGGCGCTGGGCGCTCCAGCGTAAGAGGGAGCCCCGAGCGCTTCAGACGGGACAGCGGGCTCGACAGGGTGCCCGAGGAGCTGGACGACGCGCCCGTGCCCGGGACAGAGCGCGCGTTCGAGGAGGCGGACGAGGACCCCCAGTGGGATTTGGAGGAGCAGGGGCTGTATACTGGTGCGTCCCCCGCCCTCCTCGTACCACCCCAGTGCAGTCGCCCATCGTGAAATTCAAATGCAGGCTCGTACAGGCGCGTGGTGGCGGCGTACACGCTCGTGCCCGTCTCTTGCCTGCTCATGTTTGCAGTGTTCGCAGTGTTACCAAGGACAGCGTGGCATGCTCCCAGTCCCAGTCCCGTTCCCAGCCCCTCGTTTCACGGCCGTGAGCTGCTGCTCTCGGCCGCGCTGTGGGCGCTCGCGCACCTCCTGCGCGTGCCGCTCTTCACGCTCGCCTCTGCCCTCCTCCCGCCCTTCCCGGCCGCGGCGACGGTCCTCAGCACCGCGGCGCACGTCCTCCTGCAGACGCTCTTGCGCCTCTCCTCCTTTGCCCTCCTACCTGTCCATCTAGAGAATCATAGTCATACGCGCACACCGAGCTGGCGGGACCCTGCGTTTGGCCAGGCGTGGTGGCTCGCGCTCGGGTGGGCGGCGGCGGACGCCGCCGTGGGCATCGCGCAGGGGTACGTGCAGATCTCGCTGTATCGCGCCGTGCTGCTCTCGGAGGAGCAGGCGCGAGAGCTTGTGTTGAGGTATGGCGAGGGGTTGGTCGGGCAGCCGCGGCACGGGAAGATATTCCTCACCGAGAGCCCGCTAGACATCGCCGCGCCCGGAGAGGGGGTGAATGGGAGCGGGGTGGAGGAGGCGGTGGAGCGCGATTTGGAGGCTCTCGTGGCGCTGAAGACGCGCGAGGAGCTCGAGGAGGTGTACGGCGTGCCCGTCATTGTGCGTGCTCTATTCCCCCTTGACCTTGGGCCAACCGAGTTTATATATATACGTCCTCTTTCTCAGAAAATACCCGTGTTCGTGTCCGCGCTGCAGCGCATCGACGCGATCATCTTGAGCCTGGGGCTCACGCTCCTGCTCGCCGCCGCGTACCTCCGGTCTTCCCTCGCGATCACGCTCCCGGCCGTCCTGCTCGTGCACCTCGCACTCGCGCTGCTGTACACGCCGCCGGTGCTGCCGCGCATCGGCGTGCACACGGCGGCGTATGTGGGCTTGCTCGCGGGCCTGGGGTGTTTGTTTGCAGGGTTGGGCATGTGGGGGGCGTTGTCGTGAGTGTGACGGTGTTTTGGATGTTGGAGGGGATATATGACGATGCTTGCTTTGCTGGAAACGAGGATACACGGTTGGATTGGCTTGCGGATCTATCACTATCACTATGGCGTCTTGTATAACTTATTGTTGCATAGACGGTTCGTTTGTATGGATACAGTCGTGAGGATTTAATATGGCATGTAGGCAGATTCCCCGCTACTTCAGGGGGAGCCTATTTGTCTCAGGTCAAATTTATAATTTTTTCTTCCAAAGCATTTGAGCTGGTACTTTGTTTACAGTTTCTGGTTGTGGTAATTATTTAATTCCAGCAACATTTGTCTTATTCCTCATATACATGTATTGTGCTACGTTATAATTAGATGCATGTGATATGGGCCACGCAAAGGGGGAAGAGGGTTAGGCCACACAGGGGAGGGTCAGCCCATGCAGGGCAAAAGTGTTTCAGGTGACACAAGGGGGGAGGAGGAGGAGGAGGAGGAGGCTTCATTGAGGGGGGCATTAGGCCATGCAGAGGAATGGTTGAGATGTGTATGCACATCCTTGGGTCTGCCACGGAATTATCCATTATGTTGATTTATAATTATCTGATTCTTGGTATACTCCACTTGCTTCATAAGGCTTATCTCTGCTTGAGCTCTCTAGATATTTCCCATCAACTGTAGACAGAAGAGTAGTCTATGAGGCAATGTCATGGAGAGTCTGGTATTTCCTCATTTTTGTATTTATAATTTCGCATTCCATTTTTTCCAGAATTGTATATGTGATTCTTGTGGTAGTGCATCCAGCTCTGCGTAACATAGCTCAAAGCTGAATCTAGTTAATGCAAAGCTGCAAGGCCCAAAAGTTTGTTGAAAGAGAGGCTCCACTTTTCTAGAAGGCTCTCAGATTAGGGATGCGATGATCCAGCTTAGTCTGGTTATCAGCCAAAAATTCTGAACCTGGGACCAGACCACAGGTCTGGTTTGGGTGATTTCCCGGACCTTGAACCTCAAAGAACCTAGAATCGTGTTGTGTCCAGTCAGGTTCCAGTTCGAACAGCAAAAAGTTACCATATTGGATAAGGTTCAGGTGCCTCACACCCTCTGAACCTCATTTCAGGTTCGGTCCTCCAGAAAGCTGGACCACAGACCAGAACATGAGTCCGGCTCAGGGTTCGAACTGGTTCTCCCAGGTTCGGGAACCAAACTGCAGCATCACTATCTCAGATCAGTGTGGCATGATTGCCTGGCAAAGTGCTATTTTCTGTTTCCCTGATATGACCTCTAATTACCACAAAACTTGTACAAGACATATCATAGGTATCGACAGAGGCTCTTTGAACAAGAATGATGGCATGGGAATGAGAAATACAAGTTTCACAGCACACTTCATAGGCTGGATGGGGCAAGGGCTACTAGTTTAGGTATACACCCCTCAGCTAAATCCTCTGGATCAGAACTCCAACATCAGGAATCACCAAATTCTATAGTGGTTCCCCCCGGATATATAGTCCTCCATAGGTCTATGTAGGTTGGATAGGTCAACATAGACAGGCAGAAGCCAAAATAGGGAGTTATAGGTGAGATGCATTTCCTGATGAATTTTGGATCAAAAGCTGTACTCTGGGCCTCTATTACTGGACCAACGGGCGGGGTGTAGACCATGTTGTCGAGGTAAGAAAGCCTTGTCAACTCCCCACCGCCTAGTATGATCTAACTGATCTTGAATACAGGTGGGAGGCCCTGGGACATTTGATAAGTCTATTGCAGCCGTCCGGTTAGAAGGAAGTATCTACGTGATTGGCTTCGTCGCGGGGGTAAGTCTAGTCCAGCCTTGTGGAGATGCTTCTCTCGAGTTACACCCCCTCTCTCTTGTAGATTCAGGATGTTCCCAACGTCCCGATGCAGGTGCTTCAGAAAGGCATTACTGTCAGAGGTGTCCTTTGCGGGCCACACTCCTCATTCAGGGTTGTCTTGCGATGGTACAGCGCTGACTGGGTTTCAGCTTCGAGGACCTCAACAGACTGATCGAAACGAACGAGTTGAAGCGTGTGGTGGATAAGGTCTTCCCATTCGAGCAGGCAAAAGAGGCCCTCCTTCATCTGGCGGCGCAGCAACACATTGGCAAAGTGGTCATCCAGGTCGTAAAGGAGTAAGCAAGATAGGAGCTTCGATAGACATGTAAGAGTAGCACACATAGAGACATGGTTGTAGTCGCGAGCCATAGCTCCATTGAACAACGTGTTTCAGGACTGCGGAGAGGAACAACTTGATCCTCGGCCTAACTTCATGGCTACCTGGGACGACATATGAGGTCTGTCGCCTGAAGCAAGGGCAGAAGAAACAACATAATAGCACAACACAGGGCATTTTTGTACAGTATATGATAGCCCTTGACCATAGTCCTGCTGAAAGCAAGCATTCATCGCGGATATTGGTTTTGACTCTCTCCGAAGTCTGTTCCATGTCGCCACCTATAAAGGTCGGAAGCCAGTCGACTCAAGTCGTATGTGACCAGCAATGCATATACGAGCGGAGCTGGAATTGCGAGTGCCGCGCTTTGGAATATGTCAAGATCCGTCACTGAGATCTCCACCGATTCACAACGTGATTATGCCCCGACGGACCCCACTCTATGTGCATAATGAGAGCTCTCAAGACGGAACGATGTCGCGATACTAGTAAGGAACATAACTGATAAGGCAATATGGCAACGGGCTTAAGAAGTACCAGCAGGCGCACGAATACCTCTTCCGAGGCGTTAGATAAGAGCGCGGCCAGAAGTCACGTTCACGACTGCTCTTTTTACCGAACCTATAAGTACAATGACGTCCAATCTCCCCTCCAAGGCTCGTGAGTACAGGCTCCCGAAGGTGAGCAACCATCCGGTGTAGGGGAGAACTGGCTTTTACGTCGATCTTGTCCTTTCCACAGTTTGACGGCATCCAGTCCCTCACTTTGCAAGAGGCACCAGTGCCCCAGCCTGGAGCCAAGGAAGTACTCGTCAAGATCCATGCGGTCTCCCTGAACGTACGTTTCCCAGCTCTTCTTCCCTCGCCTTACTCTCAGACACATATGTCTGTAGTACAGAGACTTCGCAATGGTCAGCAAAGCCTACCCCTTCGCGTGAGCACGTTTGCTACTTTCCTCCCTCGATCCCAAAAAATCATGAACCCTCCCAGGCTCAAACCGAACCTCGTTCCCTGCTCCGACGCATCAGGCACAATCGTCGCGATTGGGCCCGGCGTCAAGGGCTGGCAAGTTAGCGAACGGGTTACCGCGAGCTTTGCACTCGACCACCTCTACGGCGACTCTACTCCACAATCGCGCCAGAGCGTGCTCGCCGGCAGCATCGACGGCGTGCTCACTGAGTACCGCGTCTTCCCCGAGCACGTACGCACAGCTCCGCACCTCCCAAACCGGATTCTGACGTGTCTTTTTGTGCGTAGAGCCTGGTCAGGGCTCCTTCGAACTTGTCGCACGCCGAAGTTGCAACGCTGCCATGTGCGGGCGTGACGGCATACAACGCCCTGCTTGGGCCGCGTCCAGTCAAGGCAGGCGAGACCGTGCTCGTCTTGGGCACAGGGGGTGTGTCCATCTTTGCACTGCAGATGGCGAAAGTGAGCGGTGCAGAGGTGATCGTGACAAGCGCCAGCGACGAAAAGCTCGAGCAGGCCAAGAAGCTGGGGGCCAAGCATGTTATAAATTACAAGAAGACACCGGACTGGGAGAAGGAGGTCTTGAAACTCGTGAGTGTGCCATCTGGGCTGCAAAGGACTGGCTCTGAGAGACTGATTCGGAAAGACCAACGGCCGGGGTGTGGATCATGTTATTGAGGTGAGGCTGCGGAAGTGATGGTCTTCGCAGGATCCCTTGAGTTAAATTGGATTAACCTAGAATTAGGTCGGCGGCCCTGGGACCTTGGACAAGTCCATCGCGTCCGTCCGTCTACAGGGGAATATCCACGTCATAGGCTTCCTCTCAGAGGTACGTGTAATGCGGCAACGGATGTTCATCGTAATTTAGGGGCCACCCATTACTCACAGGTGACGGAGGTCTCCAACGTACCCATGCAAATCCTGCAGAGAGGCATCAACGTGCGTGGTGTCATGGTCGGGCCACGCTCCTCGTAAGTCTAAGCTTTTACATCCCGCATCTGCCTAGGATCAACTGATGGATGGACCGGGATGTAGGTTCGAAGACTTGGTCAGGTTGATTGAGGTCAATGATGTGACGCCTGCCGTCGATAAAGTGTTCCCGTTCGAACAAGCCAAGGAAGCGTATGAACACCTGCAGGCCCAGAAGCACTTTGGCAAGGTGGTCATTCAGGTCGCGAAGGACTGAGTGTCGGAGTTGGTGAACTATCGAATAGTCAGCAATGATGTGTACGAATAGCACAAACGAAGGGTTAGCCGAAAAGAGCGGGTTGAAGGGGTCCGGCGTCTGAATTGATTGGTGAATCCACAACCTCGACCCAGGTCAGGTGTACGCTCCTCCATGCTTTTCCTCAAGGAAAACATCTAAAGTCTCCTCAATCCAGACGTATGATTGAGCGAGATCGTCAAGCAGGGCTCGGAGTCGACTTGACATGTTAATGTTACGAGAGGTTACCCAGCAGGATATGTCAAGATCGTCTTAGATCGATCACTGAGATCTCGACCGATACGCAATATCGATGTGCCCCCCTCAATGCCCTCGATGTTGTTCGCTCTGAGGAGGCCCACCTAGCTACACAGAATTGGGCTGGAACATTCCGGATGTCGCGATCGACGATGGCGCGAGCCTTGTGAAGTACCAGCAGACCTACGAACACCGTTAGTCATCCTGCCAAGACGTCATATAAGAGCGCGACCAGAAATCACAATCGACAGTTTCGTCTTGTGGCGATCCTACGAAATGTCGTACAGCATCCCTACCAAGGCTCGCGAGTACAGGCTCCCGAAGGTGAGTGATGGGAGACCCACGAGTTTACATCGATCTTAATATTAATACTTATTATTTCACAAGTTTGACGGGATCCAATCCCTAACTTTACAAGAAGCGCCAGTGCCCCAACCTGGAGCGAAGGAGGTGCTCGTTAAGATCCACGCCGTCTCCCTGAACGTGCGCACTCCAAGCTTCTTCGTGAATATCTTCGACTGACTCCCAGACACATGTGTCTATAGTACAGAGACCTATTAGTGGCTAGCAACAATTATCCCTTCGCGTAAGCACGCACGCTACTCCCGCGTGTCCCCCGTAGCCTCACCTGTATCTTACCAGTCTCAAATCAGACCTCGTCCCCGGCTCCGACGCATCAGGCACGATCGTTGCGCTCGGGCCTGGCGTCAAGGGCTGGCAAGTGGGCGAACGCGTCACCGCGAACTTTGCGCTGGACCACATCTACGGCGACTCCACCCCAGACGTCCACAAGACCGTGCTTGGCGGCCTCATTGACGGCGTGCTCACCGAGTACCGCGTCTTTCCAGAGCACGTAAGCACAGTTTCGCACCTTGCCCTCATGGTGAATGGCGCTCTGAAGAGGAGACGCTTGTGCAGGCTCTGGTGAGGGCGCCGTCGAACTTGTCGCACGCGGAAGTCGCAACACTCGCGTGCGCGGGCGTCACGGCGTACAACGCCCTGCTCGGGCCGCGCCCCGTCAAGGCAGGCGAAACGGTCCTTGTCCTCGGTACGGGCGGCGTGTCCATCTTTGCCCTGCAGATCGCGAAAGTGAGCGGTGCGGAGGTGATCGTGACAAGCGCCAGCGACGAAAAGCTCGAGCAGGCCAAGAAGCTGGGGGCCAAGCATGTTATAAATTACAAGAAGACACCGGACTGGGAGAAGGAGGTCTTGAAACTCGTGAGTGTGCCATCTGGGCTGCAAAAGACTGGCTCTGAAAGACTGATTCGGAAAGACCAACGGCCGGGGTGTGGACCACGTTATCGAGGTAAGGCTGACGAAAGAATTCCCGTTATAGGACACGTTGCATTGATCCCCCCACAGGTCGGAGGCCCTGGCACCTTCGACAAATCCATCGAGTCCGTCCGCGTGCAGGGTAACATCCACATCATCGGCTTCCTCGCAGGGGTAGGTTGCAGACCAATCACGAGTCTTCCGCCTCGAATAACGCTCCCCGAATAGGTGACCGAAGTCTCGAACGTACCTATGAAAATTCTCCAGAAAGGCATCAACGTGCGCGGCATCCTCGTCGGGCCACGATCCTCGTAAGCCTCACGATACGCACCTGCGTGGAGTCGAGTCGACTGACTGATGAGAGGGATGTAGGTTCGAGGACTTCGTCAGGCTCATCGAGATCAATGATGTGAAGCCCGCCGTGGATAAGGTGTTCCCGTTCGAACAAGCAACGGAGGCGTATGAGCACCTGCAGGCCCAGAAGCACTTTGGCAAGGTGGTCATCCAGGTCGCGAAGGACTGAGTGCCAGCGTCAGTTTGATGAAATATTGAATAATAGGAGAGATGTGTACGAATAGGACATACCGATTTCATCCATGCCATTCAGTTAATCCTTCGTCTTACAAGCGTCCAATATCCGGAGGTTACACCTAGTACTTTTCTCAGCCAGTAGTTTCATCCAGCATGCGTCTGGAAGCCTAGCGCATATCAGCGTACCATCCATTCATACTCTTAATCAACGATAAGCGACAATGGTCGGAGGAGGTAGACTTCGTATTTCACGTCACACAGCAGGGGGTTTGCGGTACGAGTCGATGAGATATGGTGCCGCACTGTGTGGGGTATGTTAAGATCAATCACTGAGATCACCACCGATCAACAACTTATCTGTCCCCTGTCCACCGCGTTCCACGTACACCACATTGGGGAATAACTAGAACGAACCATAGTGCTTGGTTAATTATCGAATGTCGCAATGCGCAGTATAGCTTATATCTCCCGACTCACCGGACTTAAGAAGTATTAGCAGGCATACGTCCACCATTTAGTCATATACCGAGACGTTGAGCAGGTATAAGAGAACGAGAGGGCGTGCCTCCTTCATACGTCTACCAAGTCTTCGCAATGTCGCCCACTATCCCTACCAAGGCTCGCGAGTACAGGCTCCCCAATGTGAGTGGCCGGCGAACAATAGATGCTGAAAATTGACACGAACCTCGTCCTTTTTGTAGTTTGAAGGGATCCAGTCTCTCACTTTGCAAGAAGTCGAGGTGCCCCAGCCGGGCGCCAAGGAGGTCCTCGTTAAGATCCACGCCGTCTCGCTGAACGTACGTGCACCGAAAACGCCTCCACCTTGGACACGCGCTTACCACAGCACCTACCCGCAGTACCGAGACATCATCATCGCCAACAACGCCTACCCATTCCCGTAAGCACGCACACTCCACATCTACCCACCCCTCACCCACCCCTCTAGCCTCAAACAGAACCTCGTCCCCATCTCGGACGCGTCCGGCACGATCGTCGCGCTCGGGCCCAACGTCAAAGGCTGGCACATCGGCGACCGCGTCTCCTCCAGCTTCATGCCCGACCACCTCTACGGCGACGCGACGCCCGGCGTGGGCTCGATCCTCGGCGGCACCATCGACGGCGTGCTCACCGAGTACCGCGTCTTCCCCGAGCACGTAAGCACCGTACCATCGGGGTGCACAGCGTCCTGACGAGCGGCATGCCACAGGCCCTGGTGCAGATCCCGGCGCACCTGACGCACGCGGAGGCGGCGACGCTGCCGTGCGCGGGCGTGACGGCATACAACGCGCTGCGCGGCCCGCGCCCCGTCAAGGCGGGCGACACCGTGCTCGTCCTCGGGACGGGCGGCGTGTCCGTGCTCGCGCTGCAGATCGCGCGCGCAAGCGGCGCAGAGGTGATCGTGACGAGCGCGAGCGACGAGAAGCTCGCGCGGGCGAAGAAGCTCGGCGCGAGGCACGTTGTTAATTACAAGGAGACGCCGGAGTGGGAGAAGGAGGTCTTGAAGCTGGTGAGTGACGGTGAGTGCCGAGGATGACTCCACCTGATGTATTGGCCTGAAGACGAATGGCCGTGGTGTGGACCACGTCGTCGAAGTCGGGGGCCCTGGGACCTTTGACAAGTCCCTCGAATCCGTCCGCGTGCAGGGTAGCATCCACATCATCGGCTTCCTGGCAGGGGTACGTACATTTGACCTTGTCCGCTGCTTATTCAGATAAAAGACACTCCCCGTGTTGCGCAGCCGACAGAAGTGGCCAACGTACCCATGAAGATCCTGCAGAAAGGTGTCGACGTACGCGGTATCATGGTCGGGCCGCGCTCCTTGTGAGCCTCGTCTCACATCTACCCAGAGTCATTATACATTTACGACGCTGACGGGCTGTAGGTTCGAGGACCTGAACAGGCTGATCGAGATTAATGACGTGAAGCCTGCCGTGGACAAGGTGTTCCCATTCGAGCAGGCGAAAGAGGCGTTCGAGCATCTGGCCGCGCAGAAGCACTTCGGGAAGGTGGTCATCCAGGTTGCCAAGGATTGAGTATGTGCTGAGTGTCAGCATCAGTGGATGGGCAACATGTACTAGTAGTCAGCCGAAGAAATGAATCCCAGGAGGGTACAGGATGTTAGAACTTGAATCCGGAATGTTCCCGGAGTAAACACGCAACTCTGGATTTTGCTCGTTGGCTAGTGAGCGAAGAAAGGTTTAGCATGATCGGTCTTCGCTGCTCACTCATAAGCTGATCAGTAACTCAAGAGGGTGACCGATTTAACCAATCAGACAAAGGCTGCGGCACTACCTCAGCCTCTATGTGATTGTACTCAAGAAGATATATATTGACATTTGTTCCTCCATCGAGAATCAAGTAGGACCGTCGGAGTCGAGTGTGTCCGTCGGACAGTTTGGACAGCAAAGCGCTTACGCAGCCCGAAGGAACCTAGCCCCGGACATGTGATTCCAGGACCGGAGGCTGTCGATCGAGCATCTGTCGCTGGCGTCTCCGTCATCAGGGTGACGCGTCGGTCGCCTCGGTTTCAGAGAGTGGGCCCCCGGGGACTGCGGGGTAGGGGTACGTTAATCGTGCGGCAGAGACGGGTGCATACCGGCATGCCATTAGCCAGAGCCTATTACGCTGAGAACGGGTCGAACTGACAAGTCTAGGGATTGCACTCAGCACGCGTACCCACCGAGACCTTGTTGGACGAAAGCCACCCAGTTGGAATCATAGAGTACGTCCGATACCGCGTTCCGTCATGATCAGGGTGACTTGGGCGCTCCCCGCAGTGATCCTCACTGCCCCGCGTTCGATGTACGGCCGTCATTTCCTCCAGTTACGAGAAGGCAGCTATGAGGTCTTGTAGCGCGGACGAATAACAAGGCTCGCACAACATTCGGAATACCGAGCATTATGCCACAAGTGGAGAGACATCTGCCCCAAGGCGTAGACGACGAAGCAAAGATGAATTGCGGAGGAACATGGGAGCAGACGCCCATAATTCGCGTCTAATGACCACTCCACCCTGGGGTCCTTGCATTCCACGGCTACAGCCGTGGGACCCTGACCACCTTGCCAGAGTGGTCATGTTGGAGTATCAATAGGTTCGTATATAGAACACCAGCTACTACCAGCCTGGTTTATTTCAACTACGAGAGGTAGTCTAATAAACCGGCTCTATCTCTTCCGTGCATCAACCCCACGGTGTCGGGGGTCACGGCGTTGGTCGCAGGGTAAGCGCCTGTTCGTAAACCACCGACGGATGACGCGCCCCGTCGGAGCATACACTTTCGTTTGCCCTTGCCTGTCAGAAATCCCTGTTCTGTCAATATTCCTACATAAACCGGCTGCAGCTGCACGCTTTCCCCTATACCGCCCATACTATATGATACCGAATTAACGACACGTCTGCGATGTTCTCCACGCTGTCTTCGTTCCTACCGACCGGTGGGAGCAGCAACGCTGCGCCGCAGGAGCAGAGACACGATGTGCAGGAAGAACGAAAGGAGATAGATGCCTCGGAGGACCAAGCGAAGCAGAAGGGGCAGCCTGCCGACGAGATGGGCGCGCGGCGGAAGAAAGACCGCATGAGCGAGGTGCGTTGTGTCGCTGTTTGCGTGTCTCCTGGGACGGTTGTGGGGGTTAGATCGGAAATTGGGGGTTTTCCTGCGCGGTGTAATCGGAGGATGCTCAGAGAGGCCTGCGGTTGCTCTGATATCGAGCCGGAACCTTGGAGCTATTGCGACCTTTGTTTAACTTGATGAGCGCGTCTCAGGGTCGTCTGGCTTGACGTTGCTGCCCACTAGCCACGGGCGCGATCCCAGCACATCCGCGATCGCGGTTATCCAGGAAACGAATGCGCAGGCGTGCTCGCTGGAGACCGCGGAAACTCGACGATGCATCAGTTAACCCATCCAAAGTGATGGAAGGGCGTCTCGCGCCGTTGACTGCGACTAGGGATCCCTTTCGGAAAGGCTGTATGGCACCATCGATACATAGGCTTCGCTGCGCAAATTTCTCAATATTTTGATCCTTCGCTTCTCTTCTATTTGCAATTCGCACTGGAAATGATGTGGCTAACACCATTATTCTGTCCAGACTTTCATCATAGTGAGACCACCCCCATCCAAGTCCAACCACCCCCTCAACCTCCAAGTCCAACTCGTCCCCCCAAACGCGCGCGACCGCTCCAGCGCGCGGCGCTCCCTCGACATGTCCTCCGCGGGCGAAGCCTTCGACCCCTCCGACACGCCCTCCACGCTCACACGCACGACCTCGGGGCGCTCCGACATCACCTCCGTCTACTCCTCCGCCTACTCCTCCGTCGCCTCCCTCTCCTCCATGGCGTCCACCTCCTCGGGCTCCTCGGGCCGGCGCATGATCATCCCGCTCTACAACCTGCAGGCGCACAACGTGATGACGAACGTCGTCGTCGACGCGGGCACCGACGCCAAGGTCGCCAAGTTCGGCAAGCGCGGGATGGAGGTCATCGGGCTCGCGGTCATCGAGCCCGTCGAGGTCTTCGGGTCGCCCGCGAGCTTCGCGGCGGCGCTGCTGGCGGCGGCGCCCGCGAGCGGGCGGACGAGCTTGGAGGGCGCGGGCGGGCTGCGGCCGCCCGGGTCGAGCAGGGGCCATACGCCCGAGCCGCCGCATACGCCGGCGTCGTCGAACTTGTCGCTCTCGACCGACGCGTCGCACCAGCAGCCCCGGCCGCAGCCTATGGCGATCCCGGAGAACACGCCCGCGACGACGCCGACGCAGTCCGGTGCGAAGAAGCTATTTGGCAAGTTCTTCAAGGGGAAGAAGGAAATATCGCCCGTCCGCGTGGAGCGGAATGCGCCGGCGGGGGCGTCGTTGCAGTCGCCCCCGGCCACGCCGAAGGGGTCTCATATGCGGACTGGATCCATCACGTCGAAGCTGAACGTACCCACGGGCACGTCCAAGCGATCATCATTAATTGGCGCCGTCCCGCAAGACCAGAACGCGACGCAAGCTACCGTGTTACTCCAGCCCGCCGTCCTCGGCATCCAGCCCGCCCTCAGCTCGCCGTCCTACCCGCCGCACGGACGGCCGACGATGTACGTGTGGATCGTCCGGCGGTGGCTCAAGGGCGCGGACAGCGGGCTCATGGGGAACATGATGGGCATGCTCGATCGGCGGCAGGAGAACGCGGGCGCGCCCGCGGAGCAGGTCGAGCTGCGCTTCGAGTGGAAGCGCGGGACGAGCGCCAGCGCGCGGGAGACGAGGAAGCGGCGAAATAGAAGGAGCCGCCCGGGGACGAGCGCGGGGCCCGGGGACAGGAGCAGTGGCGTTTCCCCGGCGTCGGACCGCCGCGCGAGTCTGGCCGTGGCGAGCAGCCAGGGGGCGTCGACGAGCTCGCTGGCGACGGGCGAGCAGGCGAGGAGGGAGAAGCGCGCGTCGACGGTGGATGCGAGGGCGGTCTCGCGGAGGCGGTCCGTCGATTCGCATAGGTCGATCGCGTCGCGGACGGGCCTGCGCGAGGATGCGCAGAGTTTCGTGACGGATACTGCGGAGGACGAGCAGCCCGCGGAAGACGACGAGGATAGCGATCCCGAAGACTCGGAGACGCCGTGGGTCTGCACGGTGTTCGTGAAACGCGTCGCGACGCCGTCGAGCTATACATCGTTCTACAGCCCGACGAAGGGTTCGTTCGATGTGGAGGGGCGCCCGGCCGAGGAGGTGAAGGTGAAGGTTGCGCAGCTCAAGCCGACGCCGCACCACCCGAAGGTGATCTCCCTGCTGAAGATGCCGTACCCGCTGCCGGATATCGAGGTCGAGAAGGTGCACCTGCGTAAGCGCGTGCTGACGCCGTCAGGCGTCGCGCGGCCTGCGTCATCCTCCGGCTCGCCGGACAGGCAGGGTAAGGATACGGGCAGGTCGAATAGCGGAGCGAAGGGCTTCTTCACGGGTGGTGGCACCCACGGCGCACAGATGACGCCCGGCTTGGTGTTAACGGCAGAGGAGATCAAGGACGTGGTGTCGAGCACGGCCATGTGGCTCATTGTCAGAGAAGGCATCGGCGGTGTTGGCAAGGTCACCAGGAAGGGGGATGGCTGGAGAATACGAGCGTGAAGGGGCGCCCGTCAGTATGGATTATCTCAGCGCTTGAATGGTAAAGGAAGGGCGTCGTCGTCGGTTTCTAACGTCCGTGACATATTTTGTAATTGTTGTATCTCGGGTTCACAGCGCTCACTCTTTCGTCGCTTGTCTTAGTGTCTTATCGTTTTCATATTCATGATACCTCTTGGTCTTGTATCTCTTGGAATACCACTTGGCAAGCACTGCACACGCATACAAAGCTTGTATACTATTCATTAGGCATTTCTTGTCTGTAATAGCAGTATTAGTATTCGTCCCCGCTGAACTGTGCACTGCGCCTTATGCTGCGTGGAATTGCGTGGTTGTCTCGGTGTTTGCGTCCGGACGGGTGGTGTCTCCGATAGGATGGGAATGCCACTTCAAATGTGGGTGCAGGCACAGGGGAGGCCGAAGTACAGTATACGATCTGAATCCATGAGAGGTTCACACCCGACACAGCTCTGGGGCTCCGGTCCAGGCACGGGGCCCAATTCGAAGATCTGAAAGGCTGATTCGTGCATAGCTGTGTCGCCCATCACAAGCGCTGTGCAGAAGCGAAGATCGTTCCGCGATCCTGCTGTGCCGCTTTCCCGCAGAGGCGGAGAGAACAGTCGACCGACGCTTCCTCGTACAGGAACTTTATACCCGGATGGGCGCTGGGGAGCAGCCTCAGGGTTCAAATGTGAACTTACCATTGAATTAAACGACACGAGGCCCCATAAAATGGTGCATGCAGGGTGAAGGTTGGATGGTCGACAGTGCATCATGTCGGGGCATATGGAGTCCGCGATGCATCCTGCCAGATGCAAATATATTATCAGTGATATTCTGGAAGTAAACTAAACAATAGCTCTACCCAATAACAACAGCTTCTGTGAAACGTTCCGGACGTCTCGCGGGACCGCCAGACTGAATTGTCGCTTAACCAGCGGCTAATTCGTCGGAATAACGGCAGTGCAGCTATGCTGAACTCACATTGGACTTACGAGGCCATTGGGAGGAAAGACCCTAGCGAAAGAACCGAACGACTACACCGGGGAAGGTATTTGCCAGGGCGCGGGCTTAACCAGAGCAAAATTCATCATGCTGGAACTGGTCAGTAATTCGGTGATGCTTACCTGATACCTGCCTACATCTGCGTGGGGCCTGGCGACCGTAACTGGTCCATCTGTCAAAGAAAGTTGGGATTAATAGGTCGACGCCTGCCGCCGGACGAGTGGTTTCACCAGTGCAATTCCAGTATATAGAGCGCTAGACACCACAATCAGACATCACACGAGGTCGCCCTAGGCACCTCACGTAAGAAACAAGGTCGTAGGCAAGCAGATATCGGGCATCTATCTAGGACCCCCTGCGTGACCAGAGGATAATTCCGCCGAACACCAATCAAGCAGAATAAGTCTTGTTTGCAATTATTTCGAGCCATCGAACTGAGATGCATTTGCCCGAAAAAGATGAAGGCGTGGATACGGCTTCCTGATGACAAGACCCTTCAAAGTGTTGCCATTGCGATCCATAACAAACAAGTTCCCTCTCGGCTCGCCGGCACGTCCGATTGCGCGACCGAGGATACATGTAAAGACGAAGCAATGCTAGCCGGAAATCACCGTTGTTGCGCGGCGATAGCCATACGGTTTTGGAACGGCTCCGTGATACTTTCGCGCCAGTAGAGAGGTTAGCCCTCTATGTGATAATGAGGAAGGATGGAATCATCTCGCCCCCCGTCCGTTCCGCAACCTGGTTTCATTCATCACCGATTTTTAGACCTAATAAAGTCGAAATGCAACACACACTTGAGCGGTGAAAGCGTTCACGATAATGCAGAGATAGTGACATGATCAGCGCGACGTAGGGCTGCAAGATGAGAACGCGGCGGCGCCTAGATCGTGCGTTGTTTTGTTGGAGGAGCTGCCACGCTCGAAGATTCGCCGAACAGCCTTATGATGAACGAGGTCCATGTGACTGTAAAGTTCGTATCTTCGTCCCCTAATTCCCGTTTTTGGCCGATCCACTGGAACGAAGAACGCATACGTGCTGGTCAAATATAGGGCCACATGACGGATTTGCCATGACCCGATATCCTAGCACCTATAAATCACTGCAATAAAATCAGTCATTCGGTTGCCGCATATTCAATAATACTTGACCGCCGTGAAGAATACACCTCACTAGAGACATAACAGTCGATGATGAGAGGGTGCCACACCAAGCGCGGGCTGTGTATCGAGCCCAAGATTCTAGCGCCATGAGGGATGGAGCTTTGAGTACCCACGATGTCTTCGTGTGGATACTTTCTGCCAGTGTGGCACCTATGTGGGATTCCAATAATGACCCTCTGGACGGGAGAAACTCCGAAGTGAACATTCACACATCGCATCCTATCATGCTCTGCTTTAGCCCTGCCTTGCACCCTGATGCTCGCACCCTTGTTACCTTGTATGACTGCCAGTCGAATATCGCTTAGGTTGACCTACCCAGGGGTGGCCTGTAGCCCTCACTACATTGTCAGTCATCATTCAAGTGTCACGTCACGCTTCTTTCTGGTTCGACATCAGTCGCTGGAGTCATGCGCGCCACCCTGCTCTCGTTCCGTTTGAGTATCTCTCCCAATCGGAACTCTAACGACGTTGTCATAAACTATCTGAACTGTAAGGTTGAGCAGATGTTCCTTGGTACGAACCTACTGTCTTATTGATCCCTGGCAGCCAAATCAGCATCATGAACAAGACGCAGTTCTATTTGTCGCAGTGCGCTGAAGCTGCCGCGAAGAGCTCAATGTGCTTCACTCTCGGTGCCGTCTTAGTCAAAGGAGGAAAGGTCATTTCAAGTGGATACAACCACCATCGCCCACACTACGATGGTGCCGAAGCGCTGACTCGGGGTCATCGCAAGCCTGTTTCGATGCACGCGGAGATGCACGCGATATTCAACCTCACCGGGATGTCGCCGTCGTTCCGAAAGCAAGTACAGGGCGTTGAGCGGCGCCTTACATGTTGTAAACAACCGCAGCATCGAGCAAAAGGGTCGAGACGATTCAGCAGAAAGCATCTTTCGCCCCTGTACGCATACTTCATCTGGAAGGGGGAAGAAACGGAAAAACAACCGGGGCGTTCGATCCTCCGAGAGGCGCAACCATCGCCATCTGGCTGCCACTATTACGGGCGACGGTGGAAGCGCAGTGGTAGTTGCCAGGGGATATGAAAGCGAACGCAACTATCACAAGCCCTCCCGGGTATCATGTACCGTGGAATACCCGGGGAAGGGCTGGGACTCGCGACGCAGAGACTCTCGAGTCAATGGTGCAGATATTTACGTCGCTCGCATTACGAAGAACGGAACGGGCAACGCCAAGCCTTGTTGGAGATGTCTGGAATGGTGCAGATGGGCGGGTGTGAAACGGGTATTCCATTGGAACAGCGAATCGGAGAAATTTGACGTAGTCAAAGTAAACAGCGCGGAACGAGATCAGTACGAGACCCACGCCGACGGCCGCCTCTACGCTGGTTTGGTACGTCTCTACTATCCTGGCGCCGAGACGGGATTGACCATGATTACCTATCCCTTAGGGTTGGTAGCGTCGGCTCTATTGGACTTCTTTTTCCTGTACTTTCTCTCATTGTCTTAGTAAAGTATGTGCTGGGGTTGTCTATTTTGGTGAGCCATCTGACCCCTCAACTGCTTGTCATCTGGTCTCTCATATGGATGGCACAGGTAACATTGGTTGAATAAACCATTGCTGAGATATCTCTTATAGCCGCGTAACCCAAATCCCATTGGGTACGGGGACTGTACAGTATCTCACATCATTCACGCTACGTTACATTTTTATGCCTCGACGGCTCGCAAGGATTGCAGTACAGTGTGTCATCGAATCTACACAAGGAGTGTCTATCGTTTACCCAGGAACTTTGCATTGGCTATCTTCTCGACATCGCGGCAAGTCAAGCTGTATCTGGTATGGCGCGCTAATGATCCGCCACCGCGCACTGCCTCCAATGCTTCCGACCCTTGCAATAGGTCCACATTAGCGATCTTATAATGCCCTGACGATCCTTGGCCAATCGCATCCGTCGCGAGTGGCAACGAGAAGGAATCCTCCTCGAGTGGATCAATGCCGTGAAGGTGGTTAGTGTACAACCTCGACGTGGTGATGATTAGACTGCGTGGCTCCAGCAGCACTGATAGGACGGGCTCTGGGTTGACTGCGCGGCCGCGGCCTGAATCGTTTAAGGTTTGCGATGGCTCCGGCAGCTGTGCATTCTCTTTGTACTCGTAGTAGTGGAACACGGCATGTGAACCAAGGGATATGGTCCCGACCAATGGATGATAAGTTGGCCCGTCCTGATGTGGCTGCGACAAAGGTTGTCAGATACTCGGAAATTATGGGCGAATGAGGAAACTCGGTACCATAATCCCTTGTCCAGGCAAATACTAAATCAAACGCATGAGTAAATGGCATGAGCATATCTCAGGCCCATCACCTCGTTGAGAATGACATGGTTGGGTGCGCCATGAGCGGAATTTGCGTAAGCACCTGTATTGCTAAGTCGTTTGATTATATCAGGGCTGTGGATACGTGAGGTGTCAATTCTGCCCGAATATCGAGGAAGTATAGATACCTTTGGTTCAGCCAACCAGGGATGTCGCTAGTTACGAGGATGTTGTTGTTAATGATTTCCCCGCCTGTCTTGTTTCGCATCATCTACTCGCAACCGGATGGAAGGATGAGCTAACCCCATGTTTGCAGCCTATGACCTTCTCAGGATAGTGACTTATGGATATTGGTGACCACACAAACCTGCGATTCGCTAGTCGCTTCCATTTGTGTCGAGGCGATCCCACAATCTGCAAGATAGTGCGTTAACAATACAGAACTATCTTGGAATCCATGTTTTATTTCTTTACTTTGCGGATTAGATATTCTTCTTCATCGCGGCTGACGAAGTCGGGGATGTAATACGTCTCGTCAGTGCCTCGCAATCGCCACCGAGCGAGGTCGAAATCCGAGCCCATGTTTCGCAAAGCAAACGCAATCCGGAGCCACTGCTTATTTTGAACTTTTGAATATGCTGACTCTTGACCGTTAGCAGGAGAACCGTGACGCTTCAGGCGCACCGTCGCCACAACAGGAAAGCAGTATCGGCGATCTGGCCCGAGGTTAATTTTCCCACCGCTTCGACCTCAATCATCATGATATCGCTCGCTCTCATGTCTACCTTAATCACTGCTATGTATACTCGTAAGCTTGATGTATTTTCCCCACGGCTTGACTACAGACTCGGGCCTAACGATCAGCCCCAGGTAGTTCATCATCTTTGCAGCGGGCTGTGCGTTGATCCGACATTCATAGTGCAATCTGCATCGGAACTACCGACGGAGAAACCGGGCCTGCATCACGGGCGAATCAGTTCCCGTAGCGGCTGATAAGGGAACATATCTGTCACTGTTGGTCTCCGAGCTGACAGCACCGCAGCTAGGGCAAGACGTAATTCTGGATATCATCCGGATTGTCAGGCGCCCGGAGTGCTGCTCTCTCGGCGATCCCAGAGGTACTGCCGATATCCGTTCGCAATTCTGTGATGCGGAAGTATTGACTGTCCAAGCCACGATTCATGCTCTCATGTGCTGGGTACACTGTCATCTCGCACCTTCGAAACCCATCGCTTATGTCCGTTGGCCCGACGGCATCTCTCGATGATCTATGGTTTATCACAACTTGCGTGCCTGTAGACACAATTGGCCTGATATGAGGCCGAGGGCAAGCGCGCTAAGTGGCATAAATCGCAGCTGGCCTCCGCGATGCCCTTCAACATCGACAACACCTCATGACCAATTCATGACAAATGGCTATGATGATAGTATGTATCATTGATCATCATTATCATATCAGACAAATGCTACATAGCTTGGACCCTGCGGGATACAGTAAAGTCTTGGATATTGTACAGGAAGGCCTGAGGGAAGTCGCGATGACAGGCGCATTAGAAGATAATTAGACCGGCTAAAGGTGATACGGTAATGCAGAGGTGATTGGTTGCAAGATGTGAGCGGAATGATAATGGCTATCTGCGTGGATGTCAAGAATTCTGTGCGGACCTGAATGATCTCATAAGGTCCGTAGTCCATCCTTCAGGAGTAGCAACACTTACACGGGCGTGTAGACGCAAGCAATATTTCTACGGCTGCAGTTTCCGCAGATAGGACGTCCGTCGCATTTCAACTTCCGACCTGAAGTGGGATCATTGGTAATTGACCAGGAGAAAGGGGGTAGACGTGTCTCCCCAACCTCTGCAGAATTGGCATGCCATGGGAGTGCGTCGAGGTACTCTCTGTGGCTGGTCTCCGCCGTCTCCTCGGCCTTGGTCGCCCTGACCTGCTGAGTTTGACTGGACGAAGTCAGTCAAGGTATTTCGCGAAGTCAATTTGGCGACCTACTTGCGCAGAGCTCATGGTGTTAAAGTTCTGCGATGCGCGGCAATGAATGTAGGGATGTTGAGTGGGAGGTTGGTCGAATGCACCCCAGGGAGCTGAAGTTATAAACGGGTTCGGTAAACTCAATCATTACCGCTGTATATTATGACTGGCGCTTCACACAGCCACTCGGTGACTCGCCAGGTTTGTTGTTTCGACGTCTAGCATGCCATCCCGGCATTCCAAGGGAGGGCAAGTGCTGCTGGCTTAAAAGATCAAGGACCTACTTTCACATTCGCGGTGCCGCCTCCACACGTGACAATAATGATCCGGCGATTTCTAGAGGCCCCGAAATAATTGCGAATACGAAACCTGGCATTACGCTTCGAGCCACAGTTACAGGCCCTTGATTTGGCGGAGTTTACGAAGACGCCCCTGGGGCCTCACAGCTCCGTAGCTTGACAGTTGTACGGCCTAGAAGACACGCCGGAGCAAGCGCCCGCAGTCCTTTGAGATCTGTTGGTGATCAAATACCTCTACCGAGGAGCTGTTGCAGGATCTGGAGGCATCTGAACTTTAGAAGGTTCGCGGACATTATAGACATTCCGAGACCACGTGCTGTTTCATCCTACGTTAGCAGACTCGGCTGCCCGTCCGAGCAGGACATCACGAACGAGCAACGCAACGAGTCGATAATTGAATGATAGTGAGTATGATATGGTATGTGGACGGTGGCTCCAGCCCGGTACATGGGACAAGACGAGAGAACATGGCCCTCGTGGTCAACCTACCCCAACAGAGCGCCTTGGGAAACGCCCCTAAGAACCAATTGCTGGGGTACGGAGACGTGGTCTCACGGCGTTGATAGTACTTTCACATTTAACCAGCGATCGCCGCTAAGGTGAAGAGACGTCAGCCAGCCGCAGGTTGTCTGCTAAGGCAGTTGCAAGGGACACACCTGACATCAGCAAATTGTCCCGCGGCTGGTAGTGGCTGGCGCATATTCCAGTTATTTTAGCACGTCTACAATCGCATTACCAGCCGAATACCAGACTTGTATTTATGATAAGCGAAGCGCCTGCTGAGATACACTTACCCGAGGATTATCTTATCATTCTATATATATACCCTTAGCAACGAAGCAATCACCGGCGCCTGACTAATGCGCGTCGCCTCACGTGCTAAGTTCAACATGTCGGACTTTGAACTTGACTTAAAAGCGCGCCGCAGTTCGACTTCATTGCCAATCCCCTCTCTCCCTTGTATCACGACTACGTCCTCTCTACAGCTCTCACATGGCTAAGTCCTAACAGCGGCGCCTACGTTGCCTCTTGTACCTCTCCGCGGGTAAGTTCTTTTTGTGAACCCGCTGCCTCTCGTCGAACTCCCCCTGAGTACCTTCCTACAGCGCGTGTACGGCGCGACCTAGATGAGGCCCTCATCGTGTCTCGACGCGTCTCTGTTGCAGGTAAGCCATTTCTCTGCATTACTGTGTGCACATATTAATAGAGGTTCTTAGATTGCCGGAGGAGTCTGGGTCTTGCTTGCTAGGTGTGTCCCTCACATTTAGTGACTGAGCATTCTGATTTGTTTTGCAGGTTTGATTATGGTACTGCTGCCGGGTTCTATGCATACAGGATGACTAGTGCATTAGGTATGTCCCTAACATCCCACCTGTTGATATACCCTGATGTAGTTTGTTGTAGTGATATGGTTTGTTTTCTATTGATTAGGGTGGGGGCTGATTCCCGGACAGTATTGCATTGAGCATGTAGCCATAGCAAACCCTGTATTGTAGCTAGCCTGAGCAATCATATGTTGTACTGTGTTCATCAGCCAATGTGTTGATTCTGTATTTCATTCTGGGATGTAGAATACCAAGCAAAACACAGCTGATAGTGTGATTATGGGTCAAAGCAAGCTGGCCTGAGCTTGCAATATGTGTAAGTCTGGTGCATATTGTACTTCTTGCGGGAGTCTTACAACATGTGCCATCCGAATATAATGGCTGGCCCAGCTGTCCACAAGTCTGGTACATATTGTAATACTGGTATTTATTTTAATTGATTATATGCGAATTATATTCAGACACCAGTTATGGGAAAATTTGCTGATGGAGTTTCTTAAAGATTTATCACGGTGCCCTGCAGTCATTAAATAAATCCACGTTGCGAACCTAGACTGAAATTCGCTCGGCACATGAAGTGCACCTCTACATCAGCGCTATAGTGCTGAAGACTCCGCATGTGATCTCGGGGCGACCAGCAATTCTTGTTACCATGATGGATCGACCGGCATAAGCATTTGCTTCCTTGATTGCGAGGTCTAGTCTATACCGCCTTGATCGTCGGGCATAAGCACAGCACACTGGCGCCCGAAAGTCATGGAATAGAAGCGGAGAATAGGTAATGGTCTTCCCAGTTAGCAGGGACAGGTGGGGCATGCATGGGTATGGTGCGCAACTGACCAATATGGACTGGTATTAAGTGCTGGAAGCAGTAACGTTGCTAGCAAGTCAGGATCAAGTCAACGGTATGACGTGCAACTCCTGCGTGGGGCTGCGGATAACCTCAGGCAGCGGTTGTGGCCCGTCAGCGGCTGGATGACTCTTGAAACCTGGGAATCCGTGTCCCGGAGAGGGCGAGTTCCGGCCAAACTGACATATGGAGGACGTAGAATTGTAGGAGAGGAACCGCCTTCATGCGCAGCCCGGGGTAATAGGGCGAGCGTGAGAACTCGAATCCAGAGAATTGATTGCGACGACACATTCAAACTGTGCGATTGTACGTCAAAACAAGTGTGTAGCGCGCGCCATAATTATATAGACCGCTGAGGCATCGGGGCGCAAGGCAATAAAAGTGTCGGTTGGTTTTCCTGACGGAACCAGAGGTCAGTCGTAGTAAACGCCCAAGACGGCTTCCGATTCGACATATGGAGGTTCTATGTTTTGATCAGCAATGGAAGCACAATAAAGGTGTCAATATTGTCAGTCACAAACCTGGATGTGCTGGATTTACGCACCGGGCTTAATTATATTCCTGTGCGTGGTCTGGAAGTATTCCGGCAGGAAGATTTGTTGTGACGGAAGGGTGTTCCTCTTCGATCCACGTGCAGATGATTCATCAACCTGGGGTTCACGCGACGACCCGAAGTATGTTCGGGGAGTGAGGAGCCTTAGCTTGAATACCCTGCGATCGCATAGCTCGCAATTCGTCAAAGAAGCATGTACTACGTGAGCAAAGTCAAGTTACCTGCAAATAATACAGAAGTAGAATTATGAGCGGTATACTATGCCAGTATCGCCTGTAGAACTTGGAAACATGAGCAGTCATGCCGCCCAAACTTACTCCCCGGCAACTGCCGCTTGGAGCCTACTTCACCCGAAATGGCAACTAAGAACGAAAGTCGGGTTTATCAACACGGATTCTCCTAGACCTCAAGGGGTATACTGCGCTGCAATAGGTTGCTATATATACTTTCAAAAAGCCACTGGCAGTCACTTGCCTTCGAGGATCCCGATTGAGTATATGTAAGCTCCTTCCTAGCCGCGGCAATTCAATATTCTGTTCAGCGTGAAGGTGCTGCGAAACCACCGCTTTACTCAGCCAACATGGAGGCCTTCACAACTCGTGGCCGAGGCCGTGCCAATGGGGAAAGGGTCTCTCGTGTCGTGCTAAGGGCTAGCCCTACTGGAGTCGCCTCTATCTTGCAACCCCTTGTTTCCACCTCTGCACGAGTACTATCATTGTCGTGGACGATCATACTACTGCCGACCTGAAGAGGCGATTCACTCTGATTCTCGAATGCTTCGCCATGCTACTCGGTGGGCTGGTCAGCTTCCCATAAGAGGGATGCCTCCGCCAACTCGTTGAGGTCTCACAAAACCCGATGTACTTCTGCTCAATTGACGAAGGTGCTGGTCATCGTAATGGAGCCCTATCTCACTTCGACCTACTTACCTACTTTTTGACCAATCTGGAGCGCCTCTAGTACGGAGCATTTCGCAATACGGCCATTATCCTATGCATGCCGCTTTTGACGCCAGCAGAAATGCACAAATCGCAGGTCCTTCTCAATAGATCCGTGGTGTGATGGACGTCTTTCGAAAGTAAGTTCGCCGGCGAATACTGCGAGGCACATTCTGAAACACGAGCAAGTGCTGAGAATCGATTGTTAAGATGCTGGTGAGGACCCACATCTACACCCTTCCAACTTGTGAAGTATTATGGGGCGGTTGTACTCACTTTGATGGCCCAGCCCACTATTCAAGGTCGAGCGCCGGCATTTTACTTCCGAAAGAGCGTCGTCAGGGGGGGGGGGGAGCCAGCGCAGACCGTTCCTTGATCGCATTCCATGACTTGAAACATTAATTGGGACTGACACGCATCTGGCTTCCTGACGGTGCATCTAGGCTCCAACATGAATTTATCCGTCTCACTGGCTGTACCGTGTTGCATCCTCGCATCTGAGGACTTCCACAATAAGGCATCGTCTGCCTCACCTTGACGGGTGGGTGCTCATGGTCCCGCTGGAGAGCGCCAAACTTCTGGTGTATCCGCTGCCCCCAGACTCTAGACCTGCTACGCTGCCTTGGTACCCCTTTAATCGCAGGCGGCCCTGCAACTGTTTTAAATACCCTCAACGATACAACCATCTTATGCTGGCGGCCTTTGAAAACATCACATTCTTTGATGATTTGCTTGCCCTGTCGGGCGACGGTTCAGCAGTAGTCTTGCACATCACGCCACAGTTCTGTCCCGATCGAAGTCAAGCCGCTACTGTAAGTTACTTTCTTGGCCGGTCACTTAAAGATCACCGATGTCCCGGCACTGTCTTCTAAAGCGGCCAGGGCTTCTACAATCAAAATGAAGCGCGTGAGGCTTGTTCCGGCTCTCGCGGACATGCAGTAGACGACGAGTGAATACGACGTTACAGCCACCACACCCGCGACTGTCACTTCGATCGTGTTATGGGATTATGATCAGACTCGAAGCACAGCGCAGCACTGCGGGAGTGATCGAAATCTACCTTTTGGCAACCAATGAAATCCGAGAGTAGCTACATGTGTGCGATAAGCGACCTGAATGTAAAATGGGGCATGGCCAAAATTATCAGTGAGGCTTCCAGCTTTCAGGCCGATAAGACCTTTTTAGAGACGAGTATCCTGTTGGCGAGAGCAGACAGATTGGCATCTGCGACGATCACTTCTGGCGCGTACTCCACGTCGAACATCTGTTTGATCACGGTAGCTATGCGCTTCGCCTGTCTTTCTGACCAGAACCTGAAGTCGTCCGGGTCACGGGTGTCCGCAGAAGGCGGAGGATCTTCAGTTCCCGCTTGGCAAGAAAGGGGAATGAGTGAAGGGTCGGAGTCCAAACACAGCGGCACCACACGCATGAGGCATGATCGAACGGTCCGGAAATCTAGGACGTCCGGTTTATCCACTGTGCACAAATGAGCCCTCTTAGCGGCGCAGGTTTCTGACTTCAAACACGAACCGTAAACTTCGAAAGGATCACTCATGGCCATCACGTTGTACTTGCCATCGTGGTGGTACCGAATCTACAAAGAAGTCACTAAGGCGTCCTCGGACTCGCGTGTTATAAATAAAGACATACCTCATAACGCCCGTTCTGCCAGGGAAGCGTGCTCCCTTTGAACTGCACTTCTCCCTTCTCGGGCTCTTCGCCGGGTATGACGGGCTTATCCAGATGGAGTGGAACATCACCATCCCATTCATCGTCGTGAACTGGGACCCACATTCCCAAGGACGAAGTCTTCGTTACCAAGTTGGATCTATTGGCGCCCACCTAACGGGTGCTTGAGCCTTGGGTTTCCTATGATAGAAAAAGGCCAGACTTACTCTGTATATCCCGATCCAGTCACGACGAGAATGGTTGTAAGGCGCTTGCCAGCGTACGCGGATCGGCTCTCCGACGTGGAAGCGCAAGGCTCCACTGGGATCTGTGGGGACGATTGAGAGGGTATATTTCTTGGTGTCGTACGAGGAAAGGTCATTCGCAATCCGCCTGTTGCCGTAGGTCAACATTACTGCTTCACAGGGCATCGTAAGACAATACGCACGTGATAACCAATTTCTCTCGCGACTGTTGCAAAAGCACTTTGGTATCTTGAACGACTTCGTTGATTCTCGGTCTAGCTGTCAACCAGATATCCGTGAGAGCTATCATCTCCGTCGGTTCTCTCCATACGCACACTTTGCCAAGAACTCCTCGACCGCTTCGGCGGTCTCTTCGTAGACTTTGTCGAACGTGCCCTTGACTTCTTTCGCCACCCGTCTAATCTCCGGTGCATGCTTTCCGGCTCTTGATTCGAGCATTCGCGCGTTTTTCTTGGCAACCTTCTTCATAACCTTCACAAAACCCGCTTCCTTGCGAAGAGAGTCTCCATACAGCTTCCTCATATGGGGACTGGTGCGCGGCAAGTTCAACTACTGATCCAGAAGAAATACGGCGCCCAACTCACTTCTCCACCTTGCTCAAGAACCACCAGTTCGCCAGATGCCGGATCACAGCGAGGGCGTACACGAGCTTGCTCCCGCTGATCAACGAGAGACCGAAGAACGAAGCCACACTCATGATATCCGGATTATTGAGGTAGCTAGAAGCCCCAATTAAATTATCGGACATGACACCCATCAGCCTAGCAGCACCTACCGATAGATCCCGGTATACTCCAACTGGGCGGGGAAGTCCTCGACGAAGAAATCGCCGAAGAACCAGCCAAACACGCCCAGCACCTCGTACGACTCCATCGTCGCCCACACGTGCAGCGCAATGAGCAGCTATACATCCCGCAAGATCAATCGCGATCAGCGCTAACCGATCCACCTCACGTCACCGCCACTCACCACACCCATTGTGTGCCTCAAAAGCTCGGTGCCGACGCTCCATTCGTCGGGGATTGCGTACGTCTTCCACGCCAGGCACCCGAACGACGCTAGCGGCTCACTTGGGTTAGGGTTGCCCTTACCAGTCCGGACCGCACGCACCGTAGGTCATGCACAGGCTCAGGTTGTAGATGGCCTTCCAGTTCGCGAACGCCTCAACGACGGCGCCGTCGCCGCGGTCGTCGTGCGGGTAGTGGTAGTGCTTCATAAAGTGCCGCACGAGGAACTTGTGCTGACTCTGCGCGCGCAGGAGGAGGCCGAGGCCGACGGAGTGAAAGAGGACCCAGCAGAGGGCGTGGGCGAAGTACAGTCCGCGCGTGGCCCCAACGGACAGCGGCGGGAGCGCGGCCGATACGACCATGTAGAATAGGAGGAGGACGAGCTTGAGATCCGATGCCCTTCAAATGCGTGCGCGTCAGCACGCTGTAGTCTTGCCTGAAAGCAGGCGAGAAAGGAACCAACCTAAACAAGTCGATGTTCCGCAGGATGATCGTGTCCTGCCTGAAATATGTATTCATAAGATCGTGCTGGGTAACAAACGCAGATCTATGACGTCTCGTAACGGCCGTAGCGGGGGTGAGCGCAGCGCTCACTTCCGCTTTCTTCATCATCTGCTCTTGCTTCGCGGTGCCCTCGAACTCCGTCTCGGTCTCCGTCTGAAGCTCCTCGGTCTCGGTGGCTGTCTCACCTTCCGTGGCGCTCGGGGTGGTCAGGTCGGCGAGGGAGGAAACGGACTGGGAGCGCGAGCTCGAGTCGGAGGCGGGCGTGCGCCTGAGGGGGGTGCGTTGCGCGATGGGCTTCCTCTGTCCGTATGTCCGCTCGATGTCTGCGAAACAAATACGAACGGTCTAGCGATTGGGTTTGAAGGGTGTTTCGGGACTTACGCGGGTTCTCGAAGCCGACCAAGAATCCGAATTGCGC